TAATCCTCAATTCATAATTGAGTTCTCCTATGAGCAAATGCTTTGCCTTAAATGAATCCATGATTACAAATCTGAGCAAGAACAAAGAGAACAAATGAAAATATCAAAGTATTGACAGTCACAAAAAAAATCAATAAAATTTCACTGAAAATTATCTGTCAAAAATGTTACCAGAAACGATTAATCAGAATTGAAATTTTATTTACTACTTTATTGGAGAAACTTCAAAATTGCAAATAACTCCCAAATTTGTCAACAGTAGTATACTCACCACTGTGCTCACAAGTGTGACAAAGTCCAATTTTCCTGTGAAAACTTTATTTTCATCTGCGTCCTGTACCTATATATATACCTCTTATCACCAATAGGACCCGATAGAAGTGCTTTTACTCATCTAAGTGCTCAACACTCACAATTTAAGAAGATTAATCAGAAAATTTTGAATTTATTATGAACTTGAAATTTTAAACTTGAAATTTCGGGCCTCAACACGTTGGACGCTATTTATGTGGCCTACTTTTTTATATTGATTGATATAAACCAAAACTGTATAAAAATATAAGACACATGTGCGAACGGCAGCTCTTCGCCAGAGAACAGATAAGTGGATTCGTTGTGATTGCAGATAGTTAAATTTCAAGTTTAGAGGGCGCCACTCAATTTACAAAACAATTACTGATACTTGGATAATTGAGAAAACCAATTAGTTGGATACTTACAGTATTTTCCAAAACTTAATCCTGAAATAGAAATGTGAAAAAATCTTCTTAAATGGCAGTGTCAACACAAATAGATGAATAAAACCATATCAAATTTCAGACCTATTTATTATCACCATAACAGACAGGGTTTGTGCAGACCAATGTAGAGACCAAATGAGTGTCAGAATATGTAGCATATGTTATCATGAAATATCTTAAATATGACCGTAAAATATCATAACCATAAATTGTCATAACCATGAAATGATTGTTTCTAGGGGAATTCAAAATTATTGTACAAAATCAAAACTTATCAACCTACACCATGACAATTACCACCTCTTTATATGACTAGCGTTTTGGTATAGCAATCATCATATTCCAACTATAAAATGGGATGTATAAATCTCAAAAAAATTGATTAAACAATAATCTGTAAAAAACCTGAAACCGCTGTCACATAGTACTATGGGAGAGCTTCACAAGAGCTTCATACATGTTAAATATGGTTATGATCAAAATGTTGAAATATTAAATTCAGATTCAAAAAAATGATGGAATAAAAAAACCTGGTCTATTGGAGGGTCCTCTCCAATGGTCTAATCACCCCTATCCAAGGTCCACTATGGTGAGTAGGCATGCTCAGGAAGATGAAGACAGGAACGAAGACAGGAACAAAGAAGTTGATGGACCTCCACAGTCCACAGTAGGGCTCAGTGGTGTGGCTCAGCCGGTCAGCTTGACCGGTTACTACTGGGCTTGATCTGGGCCACCTGTCGACTCTGGTCAGGATAAAATGAGCGACCTGGTCCTCTTGGGAATCATGACCAAGGTCGAGAGATTATCCCTTCAGCTGTTCGCACTAGAAGCCGAAGGCAGCTAAGCCATACCCTAACACCCTGTTAAAAAATTAACAGGTTGATATAACCTCTTGACAGACACGTGGAGAACAGAAAAAAACTGATATTGAAAGGAAATATTGCTCACCAAGTTGATAGTCATTGCTCTGCATATGACTTACCTTCTGAGAAGGGAGGAAGGACTTGAAGAACAATTAGTTTGGAGTCTTCATACGCTGAAAAAAGCCGGCTGCAGGGCTTCCTGGGGACATCAGGCAGTCTCCGAAAAGTGGGAACAAATCCTACACAGGTCCATGGCCAGAATCACTGATGTTTTTGAACAATTTCAAAAAAATTTCAAATCCCCCGAAGGGTTTCTACGGATTATACCGAGAAAAGAAAAAATGCTCAAACTGGCTCAAGTGCACACCATGACGGTCGCCGAGAAAAAGCCTCGAGATAGCTACCGGAAATCTCCTCCTAAAATTCCCTATCTAAACTTATCTTATCTAAAGAAGTGCTTCCTGCCAAAATTCAGCGCCAAATATGAAATCCTATTATTTCATTGGTCAGAAGAAAAACACAAGAATTACTAGGTCCAAACTAACAGAAGAAGTACCGAAGAAAGAAAAGAAAAAGAAGAGTCTTCTTTTTCTTCGGTAGTACTATGTCACAACATTGTAAGATTGTGCTTAAGTCCTACTCACAGAAGATGAGTGACATACTGGACAATGACGTTTGGATGACAATATTATAACCCTAAAATAAATTCCAGAAAATAAAGAAAATAATTCTTCCAACACCGAAAATACCATTTCAGATCGAAAAATCACCTTGAATAATCCCTGAAATAAACCAGCGACATGGGCTCTACCACACTTGCAACACAATGGTAAGTCGTTTGTTTACTCTCGGAAGGGACAACAACATTGAACTATTTCTTCGAATTCTAGGCCTCTAGGATCAGAACGCCAGAAATCAAAGACTCCTGCAGCTTATATCATCACCTCCCATCGGCACATAGAAATTCAGAAGACATTACTAATCATGACTGTTATTATTTCTATGCTGTTATTCAAAACTGTGTGATAAAGTGGTTCATTAAAAGTTACATTCAAGTACTTCAGGATTATTTACCAAGTATCAGACTGAATGTTCTCTGTAAGTATGACTTCTTGTCTAGATCTGAAAGGTTAATATTTACAAAATGGTAATGTATGAAACAAAAAAATGAAAATGATTCTTTGCAACTTCAAATGTTGCACTAAAGCAAATTCGCTTGAATTTTCATGCAAACGATACTAAAAATTATTTTGTAGCAATTTCAAATGCTACAGCATTACTAATCTTTGTTTCACGTTTATTGTTTTAGCGCAGAATAAATGAATTATTGTTCTCAAAGATGGATGCTTCATTTTTATACTTCTTGGAGATATGCAAGTACCAGAACATTCTCTTCGATTTCACTTTCGTCTACATTCTGCATATATTTTTAATGAAGAACTCTGATATAAACAAATATTGTTTGAATAATTCTGATACAAAAATTCGAAAATAACAGTTGACAGTTAATACAATTGACAGGCCAGACATGTCTCAAATTACTGAAGCTGTGTTTAATGAACTGCGTTGCCATGGTAATGTGTTTAAGAAATCGTGTTGCCATGGTAACGTGTTTAATATTTCGAATAAATCACAGATCGACAATCCGTGATTAATCGATCATTTAGCGTGGTACATATCCGTACGCTAAATGCCATCTTAGTTATGTGAGTAGAAAAAAATATATAAATTTCTCTTGGTAACGAAAAACATTTGCCGATCAGTAATTTTACGAGAAAAAACTGTCATGAAAAAATTGCGAGACCGTAGGTCGAGCAATTTTGTCTTATGTCGGTTTTTCGAGAGAAATAACTGATGGAAAATGTTTGAATTAGTGAGGAAATTTATCCAATTGAAAAAAAGTTCGAGTGTTTTTTGGCAAGATAAATCAACGACAATATACAAATTAACAACAATAATGATTACCTTCATTGATGATTCCGTGTAACTGGTAGTTTGCGGAATTGATTTTCTCATTTTCGTGGTTTCTTCAGACGAAATTTTCCTAAAACGGCTCATCTTGCTAATTTACACGTGAACCAAACCCATCAATCAAACTAGAGATGACAGAAATAGGCCTTTTCATTAAGATGACAAATGACTATCTGTGTTTACATCTCGCATCCAACGACAGTGGCGGCCATTTTCACCGAAACACTTGCACCACACTCCTCAGTAACGAATAAGTAACGGTTTTTTCGATTTAACTTAATATAATACAATTAATATTCACCAGGAATATAGAAACGAAAATACTATATTGTATATTGACGAATGCCCACGGTGGTTGACACTGTTGACATTTGACAGAACCTCAATAAAAACTGCCATTTTCGAAATGGCCAATCAGAAATTTGTGTCGGAACTATAGCCAATGAGACTTCACCTTCGCATTATCCAATCAAATTTTGGATCTAAAGACGAGCGCATGCGTCTTAAAAATATATCTATATGAAAAGGCCTATTGGAGTGACATCAGGCGCAAATAGCTACTAGATGAAAGCAGGCAGTTTATCAGCGATGAAAAAGGTGCATCCTTTTTCATCGAAACTGCCTGTTCCTCAAAACCATACTTCATCTAGTGGAGTATGGTTCACGCGTGAATTAGCAAGATGAGCTCTTTTAGGATGATTTGGTCTGAAGAAACCACGAAAAATATTTAAAAAATCATACTACAAGAAACACGAAATCATCGATTATTTGTATATTGTCGTTGACTTATCTTACTCACTGTAACATTTTCCAAGTTTCAGTAATTTCTCTCTAAAAACTCACATTAGACAAAATTGCTCAACCTACGGTCTCGCAATTTTTTCACGTCAGTTTTTCTCGTAAAATTACTGATCGGCAAACATATTTCGTTAGGAAGAGAAATTCATCCGATAAAAAAAGCTCTTGTGTTTTTACTGTTGATAAAAATAAAAAAACAAAAGTTGAATTGAATTGAATTTTTAACATAAATGTTGGGGTTGTGAAAACCGTGTAACTACAAGAGTTATAGATATATCTTTTTATTACCTACAACTTTGTCATTCAGCTTTTTTCCATAGGACTTGTTTCACCAGAAAACGAGATTAACCATTTTTCACCCTTAAAAGTTCACCCCCTTCCACTTCCCGATCTCAGATCGAGCGTGATTCATTTTTTCTTTCATTTTTGTTTTATTCTCTTCCTTTTTCGATGGGTTTCATTCTACTATAAGTTTTTCCGGTTTCAAAAATAATTATCGACTCTGGTCTAAGAGGAGATGACTCTTCTTTCCCTTCTGAGGAGCTCAATGAGAAGTAAGATATGAGATGTTCGAAATCGTCTGCATACATAGAAACAGATATCCTTCAACAAATTTGCTTCCTCTTACCAATACTTAGGGGTGTACCACCAGCAGCTAGAAGACTGGCTTCACCTCCACACGAACCCCCAACATTCCTCGTTGTGTTATATGGGTTGTTTGTGATGCCAAATAAAGGGTTGTGCGTTTCTTGCCATAAATTCAGCTGGGGAATATTTGTAACGCCTAGATAAGAAAATTAATTATTATATGAGAGAAATAAGTAGTATATTTTAGACCTAGAGGATGTGTTGTCTCCCGACGCGTACGTATTACATTAGATTAATATCAGAAAATTATCGACGTGAAATTTGAAGTTTTGAACAGGAATGACACCTGATTTGCAGTCATCTTCATCATTCTTTTGAAGTAATCAAATATCTGTCAATCTGATTCTGTGATTTGATTTTAAAAAACTTACAATTTAGTGGTTTTTGAGTAATTTACGTAACCGCGAGGTCGAATGGATGATTCTTGGATACGGTGTTATTCGCGGGAATCAATGTTACCAGGTGGCGCTCGGTTTTCATCGTTCCATGTCAAAGCCACGTCAAAACTGGAGGAAAACAAACTTAATCCTCACTCAATCCCATTAGTGCCATTAGCTTGTGTACTGTGTACTGATAAAGAGTGATAAGTTTTTGAATTTATTGACATTAATTGTCAATATTCGATCGGAAACGCCTGTTGGCAGATATTTTGCTCTATTTAGATGGAAAATGCCGACCAGTATTGGAACGAGAAGCAGTTCTCCGTGCATATCATGTGATTTTGTGTGAGGCAGAAGTCTTCAACAAAATGCACATTTTTGCACTTTGTCTACAAACTTCGGCGATGAAATCTTCCCAACATGAAGTGAAATTGAAGTTGGGGTCCAGAGGAACTCTTATAGAACATTGGATTTGTATTTGTTCCTGCAAAGCAGGACAATCTGGGTATTGTAAACATGTTGTAGCTGTTCTTTTATATTTCAATTAGTCATAATTAGTTTGAATTGTTCGAACTATCTGCAATTCTTCACCCGTTCACTGTTCACTGAACTAATAAAAATGTAATAATGTAAAAAAATTTACTAACTCAACCATCATCACTACCAACAGTGCCAACACTTTATGTCATTGACAAGTTTGACTACAGCTACAGCAAGCTGAATGCAATGTAGTCTATGCACTTTATCCATAGACAACAGTTTGTTTTCCCTCAGTTTGGAGTTCGTATTATGTAACCTAGATGTCGCCCACTTCGTGAATCTCGCCAATTGATTTTATGTTTCGGAACTATAACAAAAACCATCAACAGTGTATATATATGTGATATATATCCGGGAAAAAAGTAATTTATGGAAAGTGACATATTTTATAACCTGTCAACAGAGATGAAATTGCAAACTTTTTTCCGGTCACAGAAAAAATATAATTATTGTTCAATAATAAATGAAAAACAAAATATATAGTAGGATCACATCCAATGAGAAATCAAAAGAATATAACAAAGATGGAAGGAAACATAAATTATGGGCGATCTGAGGTCAGAAAATGGTAGGGGGCCAATTTTCAAGGGTACAAAACGGTTTATCTTGATTTCCAGCAAATATACAAACCCTATGGAAACAACTTGAGAAGCAAAGTGATAGGTAATAAAAAGATCTCTAACTTTTATATTCACAGTTTTGTCACATAACCTCAAAATTCATGTAAAAAATTCTAATAACCATGTTTTTTATTTTTTATTATAATCTTTCACAAAAATAAATTTGTTTTCACCAAACATTAGGAAAACTTGCCTCTTTATGTCCCAAATACACTGTAATTGTTTTGATTTGAAATATTGAAAGAGCAAAGATTTTGACGCAAGAATTTTCGGTTGAAAATGAGGGTACTTTTTCGATATCAAGTCAAAATGAGGTGAAAAAAAATTTTTTTCAAATAAAAAAAAATCACAGTGAGTTTGAGACATAAAAAGGTGAGTTTTCACAAGATTTCGTGAAAAAATGTTTTTTTCTTAAACTTTGTCATCAATTTTTTCCATAGGACTTGTGTAGTTTTGCCAGAAAACAGGATTAACCATTTTTAATCCTTAAAACCTCAACCCCTTCCACTCTTCCCGACCTCAGATCGACCGTAATTTATTTTTACTTCTTTCATTTTTGTTATATTGTCTTCCTTTTTCAATGGGTTTCATTCTACTATATTTTATTTTGTTTCAAAAATTATCGACCCTGGTCTAAATATCAGATCACCCATATAATCTCTAAAAGTTCAAAAAAAATTCCAATACCTACCTCCTGTCCCTATCCTCCCTAGGAACGCACGATGTTCTTTGAACATTATAGGGATTCTCTTTCGTGCGCTTCAAGCGATAAAAAAAAAAAAAATGTCCCTGTCAAGTATTGTCTGTCGAATTTCGTAACACCCTGTGTATGTTCTATATATTACATAGAAATATGGTGTTTCCTAAACATTGGTGAAAAATTCGTGGAGCAATTCCTGAGGTATTTTTATGAAAAATGTTTCCCCAAAAACATTTGTCGAAAAATGCTTTCTAAAGGAGCAACGCCCCTTCAAATTATAGATCCTGAAAACGCTCTTTCCTCCATACTTTCGAAACCGTTCATCCAACAATCATGAAATTCGGTACATACCATAAACTTGTTTTGCTGAATCAGAATTTGAGCGCAGAATTCCAAAATTCCAATCAGGAGCATACCATACTGGATAGCTTATTAAGGGTAAAAACAATTTCAATTTATTCTTGGTATTTCTTGCCACATTCTGATTTCAGAATATGATACCTATAGACGTTTTTCAAGTGAAAAGGGAACTACTACTTTGAATCGAAAGGGCTAGAGATGTTTTTTTTTTCAATATATTCGGAACCGCCAAATTGAATTTAGAGCTCAACATTTGAACATTTTCATCAGTGCTTAGAGGTAAAAACAACCCCATTTTTATTATTATTAAGGAGTTAGATAATGGGTAATTGTTCAGATGATTACAATTTTCTTGAAAACAATTAGCCCTTTCTAAACCAAGAGCAACTTTTTCAGGTAAAAATTCCTCAAGAATCTAATAAATCAGGAAGCGAAATGTCAAAAATAAATGAAGTTTTTTCTGTGACGGGAAAAAAGTTTGACATTTTATCTCCTTGACAGATCACAGAATCTCACTTTCCATAAATCACCTTTTTCCCACGGGAAAAAAGTGAGTTGGGAAAAAGGTGAGTACTGGCTGTTGATGGCTTCTGTTGTGCCAGTTCCGAAAAATAAGCCAAAATAATGTCATGTAGTAAATCTTAATCAATTTTTCATTCATCTGAATTCGAACATAATTTTTTTATAAAAGAACATTCATTTCAAATCCAATGTATTGCATGATACAGACATACCTAGACAGGAACTAAAGTTTCCTATTACAACTAATATTTCCATAACCTGTGTGAACTCAGATTGAACGTAAAATACATTGATTCTAAAACCGCTGAGATATATGAATTAAAATTAATATACCATCAGAGAGGGAAATATTGGTTGGAGTAGTTTGATTATGAAAAAGAGGAAGTCAGTCTACTTCGGGCGTAGAGCAGAAAAGGTTCCCTGAGCCCATTGAAGATGGTTCCCCTAGTATCCAAATTGTGAGTACTCTTATAATTGTGAAAATTCCTCATGAATCATCCCATAAATGTTTTGCCAATGTTTGGTAGCTGTACGCTGCTTATTCATTACCTAAACATATTGCACCAGAATTCTTCATAAGTTTCACGTAATCTGCATCATAAGAGGCTTTTCGTCCTTTCCTTTTCAAAATTCCAAATGAAAAGGATAATCCCTTAACTGCTGTCGATTCCTTAGTAGTGAAAGGTAAACCTAAAATTTCAAAATGACATAACTTTTTCTTCAAGAAAAAATTGACTAGGAACTTATATTTGATCTAGTATTTAGTATTTACCTAAGAATGGTTTCCGCTGAAAATCAGCTTCTGTAATACATCCACTCGCTATTTCCTCGTCTATTCTTCGTGCTTCTTTGAGAGCATCATCGTATCTAGAGTCTACAAGTGAATTGAGTACGGGATTCACTTCTTTTATTCTGTCAATATAAGCTTGAACAACTTCTTCTGATTTCAATTCCCCCTTTCTTATTTTTCGCGCTAATGACGTTGCACTTTTATGTAAGATAGGATTGCTATTATTTTTTATTGGTTTCCTTTTCGAATCATTAAAAAATCCGAAGATATTGTCTATTAGTATGTCAACATAATAACGTAAAAATAAAAAAATATTGACTAATAGTGCTTTTACTCTTCCACAATTCATTTTATTGGATGTTGATTCTTTTCCAGTTATACCATTTTGCTGTGAATAAAATAAATTGAAATAAATATTAGGGTATAGCTAGGGCCGCTAGGGGTATAGATAGGTACTATCTCAAAAAGTCAGTTGAGTGAGTTTTCTTTAGAACTGCTTTCCAGTATAAATAATGAAATGTTCTTTCTACTATAGTTACAAAAAAAGGCCCTGTTGCTATTATAGGTAGAACACTGCAAAGTAAGTTCGGTTCGATCAGTGAACAATTTTGAAAAAAAAATTATACACATTTTTGACGATTATGTCATCTGAGCAACATCGTAATGAAATTTTGGTTGAACATGTTACTAGCGTCTAGAATTAGGATTGCTTATCATTACAAGGTAAACATCTGAACATATTTCAGGCTAACAAAAAATGATCGCATTATATCAAAAGCTGATGTAATACTGGCTCTCCAGAACTTTGGAATGTATTTAAAAATCATTTGTCTGATTTTTTTTCAGAATATTTCCCAACTTTGCTGAATACTAGTGAAACTCCATTCAATATGATTGAAAAGACAAAAGAGTTATTTCCAATTGAATACGAACAACTGCTAGAACTACGGATGAACGACTCAAAGCTAAGTTTGAAGAAGTTCCTACCGTTGAATTTGTTTGTTGGAGCGAAATCTTTGAGGAATACCCTTGTTTAGCTTCATCGGGCCAAAGGCCCTCGGGTGGAAGTTACCCTCCGGGCGGCGATTTTACTAAATAAACTGTACGCTAGCACAAACCACGCCCACCGTAATATCTCATCTTCAAAGTACTTAGGCAAAACTCAGAGACTATTTATCCTTAACGAACTAACCTATCCCTGATTGCAATATTTTTGAGGAAGGAAAACCGAATGAAGTGTAGAAACACATTGATGAATAATATATTTCAAAAGTTGAGTTCTTCAAAAAAATTGAATAAAATGAGACTGTTTATCCTAAACGCACTAACCTATTTGACTTCAAATATTTTATGAAAAAGGAAAACCAGAATGAAGTAAAAAAACATTGGTGAAAAAAAAAGTTGCAAAAAAAAAGTTCAAGTTCACAGCGATTCGAACCATGGACCTTCAGACTGAAAGTCGACAGCGCTATAACCAGTAGACCATTTGGGTATATGAATTTATTGCGTACAAGAGATTGACAACGAGAGAGCTTCAGTCGAATTCGTGTCAAAATCATGGAAAGTGTATTCTTGCGTTGGAGCACAGTATATTTAGTGAGATGTGCTGACTCCGAGTATATCGGTAATGTTTGGAGATATGACGTATTATGGTGGGCGTGGTTTGTGCTAGCGTGCAGTATATTTAGTAAAATCGCCTCCGGGCGGCGTATTGCGAAAAGCGTACTCAATTGATCCCTAAGTCGTAAGGTCGTAATAAGGTAATATAAGGAAGGAAAATATTATTTCTGTATGAGAAAGGATACTACTAGACCTAACTCGGCCTGATTGAACTTTTTTCCGGAAAATTATATTTCTCTAAAAATTACTTGAGTGAAAAAAAAAATAAAAAAAGTTGACGCTTTGCAGGATTTGAACCCCAGCCACCGCCGAGTAAGATACACAGTCCACCGAGCTATCAAGTTACTCGAAAGTGTTTACTATGAAGAAAGAAGAAATATCGTTTGTTCCTTGTTGAAATAGGAACGGGTTTATCCGCATTTTATCCGCAAATTGCTCATAAAAAGCGTCTCTGTTCTGCAGCGATTACCAACTAAATACGGGATAACACACATTCAAGCTTTGGAAACACCTCTCGGTTTCAGCACTGGCGCGGAGACCTATTGCGTACGCTTCTAGAAATACGCCTCCGGGCGTTAGGATCTATATATTGGTACATAAATATCTATTACATCTGTTTCCTAAAATGATATCTCTTGCTTGTGATTTTTACTTTCATTTATTTTACCAGGTGATTTACCCCAGTATGTTACTGCGTTTAAAAATGTTCATATTAGAGAGCCTAAAAGAAAAATTCAATCGAATGTCAGTGACACCTTGTTTTGAACCATGTTCGAAGATGAGAAATATGAATATATAATTAAATCGAAAAAAAAACAAATTTTTACTTAGCTGACGTTTCCGAAACTAATCTGTTCCCGTTATCAACATAAAAAAATGTAAAACATTCTTCTCGAATTCGATGAAAATTGTAAATTCAAGATACATTGATGAAAACATTCTGTACTCAACTCATTTGTTTGCACCAACATCTGTCACTGAGAAGACAATTCGAGAAGAATATTGAAATGAGAAGACAATTCGAGAAGAATGATATTTTCCATTTTTTTCATTTTTGCTATAAGTAAGTAGGGGGCGAAAGAATTTAGTGTCCTGGGCGCCAAGAGGTCTCAATCCGACCCTGTTTAGTAAGTTAATTCTCCGAACAACGAATCCCTATTGATGATCGAAGAGTTAATTATAGTTCCGCAGGTGCGGATTACGGCGGGTGCGGACCTTTAGTGCAAACTATTGTAGCACTGGTGGAGTGTTTCTGCACTCAATGTATATGTTTCCTTCTCACTCGCATGTGTCAAACAGAGGTAAATATACACTCTGTGGAGAAACATTCCACTATAGTTCCTGCCAATGGAATTTGCTATTAAAGTTCCGCTGGTGCAGAACTCTAATCACGACCAAAATAAAATAGATTTTCCAAATATTCACCTTTTTCGATTTAACTGAAAAACTAATACAATTTTGAAAGTTTTTCGTACTCCTCCCGTTTCTGAGATCCCCATGCTGTGAGCTGTGCAACCCCAACCTCATCAAAAATGAAGAAAAACTTTGAAATAAACTTTATTCAAAGACAACATAGCTATAAGTAATTATAAAAATATAAAATATATACAAAAATTTGTTAATGAAATAAAATATTTTGTCAACTCCACCGTAAGGAATATCATTAAACTCGGTACATTTCAAGTGATAGGTACCACCGAGTACGATAATCAAAACCAATGTTTTTATCACCATCTTATTTTTCACAGCTGCTTTATTTTTCATAGCAGCTTTATATTTCACAGTTGCTTTCTTCGTAGTTCCTAGTTTCAGCCTTTTTTCTTTGGCACTCTGTCTTTCCCTTTTCTTTTCTCAATATTTTAGCCTCATCTTTTTCTTTGGTATGATGTTTTCTTTATTCATTCCAGCAGCCACCAGGCATTTTTGTCAGAATTCCTGGCACAAGAAGAGGTACTCTCTATAATCTTCCACTATGATATTGTCTTCATTCTCATCCACAAAATCATTTGATATGATTCCGAAAGCGGGATTCCACCTGCTCGGGCACATACTGGGTGTAGTGAAATCAATATAAAACTCTTTATTTTGGTGGCCGAAAACCGGATAGCCATCAATTATTCCTATTCTGCTGTATGAATGAAGCAAACTGAAAGACACATACTCATTCAATCAATGTTGGAAGGAGATATCAAATAAAAAATGTTTTCGTCCTGTTTTTTGCCGGCCACCTGAATGTTTCAAGAAAAACATGCTTTATTACTATTTCAAAGTTCAAACCTTTAGCTTTTGATTATCTAAGTATCAAAAAACATAATACCCATGCATCACTGAAGTAGTATACTTCATACTTACTATTTCGGAGACAACCTTTCACTAGTATTTTTCTACGAAATTTTGTATTCACCGGCATAGGTACGATGTGGAAGCAGCCATTACTTATTTTATAATAATTCACTAGTTTGCCACCAGGGACACTTCACTATTATGGGCGATATTGTGAAAATGTGGCCGAGAACCAGTGGTGGCCGGCTAACCGGCATTAGGAATAATGAGAAAAAAGTCATTTCAATGATTGAAAAGTCATTATAATGAGAATAGTTATCTATACACCAAGGTAGTGAAAGCGTTTGTGATCTAACGATTCAAAATATTTTCAGCGATGCAGCGTTGCCACTTTAACCAAAAAGTAGCATCATCTTTGTTATTTCAAATGGAACACCCTGTATTTCATTGCGTTTTTAGATTCTTCCCGAAGAGCTGATTTCATCAATGCATCACACTTGGGGTCTAGCAGGAATTATTACAGAGATATAGGGTGTTCAAAATCGAGATTTTTCAATTTCAGGAATTTTTTGTGTCGAAACTATTCAGTATCGATCAAAGCGGCTTACATGTCCCTATCCTCCAGATACAGGGTGATCAAAATTCTGAATCTTGGACCATCCTGTATTTTTCCCAATTAAATGTCGGTAGATAGTTAATCAAAAGTTAATATAGGGACATGTAAGCCGTTTTGACCAATGATGAATAGTTTCGACACAAAAAAATCCTAAAGTTGAAAAATCTCGATTTTGAATACCCTATATCTCTGTAATAATTCCTGCTAGACCCCAAGTGTGATACATTGATGAAATCAGCTCTTCGAGAAGAATCTAGAAACGCAATAAAATACAGGGTGTTCCGTTTGAAATAACAAAGATGATGCTACTTTTTGGTAATAGGGGCAACGCTGCTTCGCTGAAAAAATTTTGAATCGTTAGATCACAAACGCTTATTAGAGTAACCAAATTTTCAGGATAATCCAATGTACCGTTTTCCCTGTATAACGAACGCATTTTTCGAAGCATCAACGTTTGTATGTTGTGCTTCAGGCGGTCTATCTCTCGATCCATCATTAAGCATTACAAAGGTATAGTATGCCATGGACAGTTGACAACAACTGAACAAAAGTCAATGTGACACTTCTGTCATCATGAATTAATTGATTTGTGTATTGTGTAACTGCATTTGAAAGTTTCGATAAGAAGTACGTTCGGAATATGAAGGAGCATTATTATATGATATCATTGGAATTCAAAAAGGATATTATCGTTATTTGTTTTATAATAGCATATAATAGCACAGACTTTATAGTTATTCCGACGCTAAAGGATGCATGCTGAAGCCAATTCATTTTACCTCCCACGCGGGAGTTAATATTTTTTTCCTCCCGTGGGAGTAAATTGATAACTTTGTTGCCTCAATGAGGGAGCAAACCCCTACTTTCGATTCAGTGAGTAGATAAAATTCAAGTTCACGATTATTTTATTACTGTTGTACTCGCTGTTTTATTCCTCATATTTGTTCTAATTCAACAGCGAACCAGTACACAGTGAACCATATATGATTCAATGTGTATTGACTGGTTCACTATGTACTATAATAGGTAGACTGGTTAACCAACCGGCACTGGTTCTCGATCGTTCTGGCATTTGAGACAGAATAATAAGTGAAATATTCCTTATACCATTAAAATCACTAGAAAATGTGTTCTCAGCCACTTCACTTGATTCAAAATAGCAGGCAGTGTGGGAAAAAAAGTCGAGCTTTTCGCACAGAAAATCCATTTGATAACCGTCTGATATTGACAGAGGCTGTGTTAATGTCCATGTTTGAAAAGTGCTGGTTGATACCAGGCTAAAAAACTTTCGTTTTGAATGCAATAGGTAATTGAGTTTTGTTTTATATTAATTAGTAGATATAGTTTTTTCTGTATTTCAAGAGAAAACAGATATAAATATAATTTTTTTGTTAAATATTCGGTGGTCGACAACACGTTTAACAAAAATTGGCTCTTTTTAAGGTGCTCTTTTATTTCTTGACCAAAGCAGAGCGGGACCAACTTCTGTCTCTATAGGTAACGAAATCGACCAATAGGCGTTGATGCCTACCCTTATGCCGACGTAGGGAAAAAAATGCTGTTTCCATCCTTCACTTTCCGTCCTTATAGATTCAAAAAGTACCTCTCATTTTGGTCCCATTTTTATTGAGATCAATGTGCCAATGTCGAGAACCAAAGCATATCTTGAATAATTTGATATTTCTAGTTTAGGGGGAAAATATCAACGATTTATAATTTCAAAAATATCGATATATTGATTTCCTCTATACATTAAAAAAAAATAATTCATTTTATTTATGTGACCCCTACACGCTTCAATCCAGACAATAGTTCTAATATTTTTGAAATTAATTTTTATTTATTTTTCCAAAAGTTTGTTCAGGCATTAATCATATATTGCATAGGCAGGTAGGTAGATATAGGTAGGTAGTTTTTATGCTGAATTAATTAGGTTTGTCGGAGATTTTATAACCTTCGGTTGGCATGAAAAATAAGATCATTTTGAGTTAGGCGCGCAAAAAAACGATATATGGATATATAATTTCATAAATATCAATATTAATATTAGTTTGTGAACATCAAATAAGCCTGAATAATATTTATCCTGCAATTCATTTATTGATGGTTGAAAACCAATTTGAACATATTCATCAGTTCTCAACAGACCACTGTGGATATGAACAAGTTTAAAATAAATTTTGGTTCTTGACCATATCATATCTGATTAGGTATCTCTTTTATGTCTAGTATAAAATGATTTTAGGGCACAAATAACTGACTCCAATACAATGTTAATTATAAGCTTTTACATGAATTTACCACTCTCAAAAAGTTGACCTACTCATCTAATAAATATCTATGAAAGTAGTGAATTAATCTTCCTATCTCATGCATTCATCTTATAACTTTTTTCAATAGACTGTCACATTCATCATTTCATCAACTGATTCACTGTTTCCACAAGACAGTACACAGTGAACAAATTGGCATGTTTTTTTGAAAAAATCAAGATGGTACACACTGCACCAATTGACAGGTTTTTTTTTAATCATTATATAATTCATTTTGTTGATTGAAATATTGAAATGATAACTCCTGCTAGGCTTTTGTTGCTGAAAAGTACTCAGAAAGAATAAATTGAATTGTATTGAATGGAAACTTTGAAATTGGTGTTTATTAAAAAACCAAAGTGGTTCACTCTGTGGGACAGTAGATCCTGAACCCTACATTATCCAGTCTCACCTTATTCTCCTGGATTTTGGCCATTTCAGTAGATAAAGAACATGGAGATTGATATTACCAGCTATTATGTTGTCACTGAAACAAAAATATAAGTAGGAAGTTTGAAAAATCAAAGCACAAAGTAAGTTCTAGAGTCACTGGATACCATAATACCATCCAGTGACTCTAGTAAGTTCCAATAATAATTATTCAGTAGATGGTAGGTATACCTATACATAATAATACATAATACACTATTGTGTAGTAACATGAATAAAAATCTATCTAAAAGGTGGCTACTGGCTAGTCAACCTTACCTATATATAATATATAAAGCATAACAAAGAACAATGTCATCAATAGGTATGGATTGAGATGTATGGATCAATTCCATTATCATTCTTCACTGATATCTTCAGTATTCAGACTAGTGAAAATAATCAAGGCTGATCTGGCTGATAATAAGTAGGTATTAGAAAAATAATAAAGGTATCTGGATAATAAAAGCCACTAGATGTTTTTTCTTGAAACAAATCAAATGATCACCCTGTACAAAAACTATATGAAATGTAAAATAATAAAATAATAATAAAATTAAATTAAAAACCTTGGCATTGAGTGTTATCAGTTATCACCGTATTATTGTTTTGATATTTTCATTTTTCATGTTTTGATAATTCAATTAACTGGTTGATTGTTGTTGTTGATCGTTGAATTTGTTGGCATAAGGTTGGCATGAATTCAATCTGACCTGAAATGAGGCATCTAGAGACAGGAAGCAAAGAGAATTGGCGCAACAAATAATCCATGCCCATGCAGTGGCCCATGCGTAAACAAGTTTACAGAAAATTTCCTGGCTGGAAAAAGACATAATTGAAATCGGCCCCAACACTCCCAACAGTAAATGTCTTTTCGAATAATCACATCATTATCATAATAAAAAAAGGAAGGATTATTATTTGTTGAAAAATTTCTTTCTTGGCACGAATTCAATACGACCCGAAATGAAGCATCGAGATCTTCGATCATACTACAGGGGTTTGTTGTTCGGAGGGGCCGATGGTGATTTGTTCATGATTTGCAATTTCAATCTCAATTTTTTTTCAGGATCGGCCGAAGCGTTTCCGCACGGATTGATCTCTTTTCCGTCCTGTCTCTAGATGCCTCAAATCCGGTCGTATCGAGGCAGCGCCCAGCGGAAAAATAGCTATGGGATCTTGTAGCTAAGGGTAAGCTATGGTCTAACTATGGTCTTATGTTCTTCTCTTCTTCTAGCTGGAAGGTTATGTGTTATGTTTATATTATGTCAAGTTTCCTGTTAGGTAATCGTGATCACAGTTTATTACGCAAAAGTTTGGTTTTTACATCAATTTGTATTTGTTTCGTTGCTAACGAGAGACAACTCAAGTGAACGTTTACGTTTATCAAACAATGGGTAACGTAAGTGAGAAAGTAGAAGCTGCCTCAACTAGTACTACCCCAAACAATGAGACGCCGAAAAAGCTCAAACCATGCTGTGCTTGTCCAGAGACCAAAAAAGTCCGGGATGCTTGGTAATGATAAATAGCTTATTTTGTAAAGGAATCAAGAAATTTGAATTATATTCATTGCAGCATTATTGAGAATGGTGAAGAAAACTGTAAACATCTTATAGAAGCTCACAAAGAATGCATGAGGAAGGCTGGATTCAATATATAATGATTGCTTTTTCTAATTTATTTGTACATAACATGTCATTTATTGCTTAACAATACAAATTAGGTCCTGAAAAATGTGTTTCCTAGAAAGATAAAATGAAATGCATAATTAAAGTATGTATATAGGACCACATGACTTTCAATAATTAGTCAAAAGAACAAAGAATATTGATAGAATCCCATAGGAGAGAACATGTATCTACAATTTTAACACATACCTAAAGAGGATGTATAACAGCAATAATTAATTTTCAGTTGTAGGAAAATGTCAGAATATCACAGGTCCTTAAGACAGCAATTTTCAAAGGATCAGGTAATGGTGTTTTCAAATTCTGGATTATAACATTTTCAAAATTATAATCCATTGCTTTTATTTCCCCAGTTACCTGAGTGTTTTCATACATGTTAATTTCACAATATTTGTTTGTTCCTGAAAATGAATTGGAATTCATTTTCCTCTCAGAATGGTTCATCATAATTACCACAAATAGATGAAACAAGATACAGAAATCGTTCTCTAAGAAAACCATTAGCTTCATTCTCTTCAATTTTTCTAATTCGTAATTCCTCAGATTCACCCATTATTTTATTTGTGTAATAGTTTTGGGTTTAGTATATAAATTTGTTATCTTCACACTTCACAATCTTCTACTCTTCTTTCTTCTTCACATTTCAGTCATATGTCATATCACATTTCACGAATCACATCAAATATCACATTCTTCACGGTTGTCAACTTGTCACTTTAGGTTTGTTCCTGAGGTTCTCGTGGTCTGTGTATCTGACTTCCACGGCCGCAGCTCGGTGAATCACTTTCAAATCCCTCCGAGGCGTCAATTTTTTTAACTTTTTTTCCACTAGTAATTTTCCGAAAAATATAGTCTTCAGAAAAAGTATCATTTATGAGTTCGGATGAAAGAAGTCTAGGTTGTGTCAGAGATAAGTTACCCACAGGTCTGTGATTATGAAGCCTTTGGACCAGCCTGACTATCAGTTTGACCAATGACGACTAAATATCTAGACTGCCTGACATAACCCTTCAGACAGTTTAGATATTTAGCCGTCATTGGTTTGACCAACCAGATGTTTGGGAATATCGGTCACGTTTCAAACCTGCCGTAAAGTTACCACGTTATATTTTATGGAAATCAAGGTGGGAATCGTAATTCGTAATCGAGTCAAGTATTGATATCCATCACGAATGACTTGACACAGCCCTAGTGATTGGAATGGTGTTTATTTCGGTGAATTTTTTCAAATAAATTGTAAATTCTGGTGGTTGAAGACAAATTCCCTTATTTGTTTCATGACAAGAATCTGATGTTAATAATAACGTAAAACTACAAAAGAGTTTTTGAAAAACTAGTTTCAACTGAAATTTTCTAACGGCTATGTCCACATTTTGGCTGTGTTTTGAAAGATATCAAATGTTGGTTTTCTATTTTTCTCGTTCTATATGTGACATATATAAGTATATCATTGATGTTATGAATCATTTGTTCGCTTTGTTTTCTTTATTTTATTTATATGAATATCGTGAAGCCAAGATCCGTTGACCTTCTAGACTTCAATTATCTGCTGTTATCTATAGAGATCTAAACTGAACTAAAAACCACCAGAACCAGAATATCGCTAGATTCGCTGAAATTTTCGCCTGCCTGCCTAATGAATACGCATATATGGAGATAGTTAGGGGCAGTTTATAGACATTAACAGAATATGTTGTCATTCATTCAGCTCTTGAGCATAAACGGCTCACTTTAGCGAAAATATACAATAGGAGCATTTCTTGTAGGACATTTTCTTCCCCTTCAATCTTTCTCTCGACATTATTTTCCGAAAAACGGACAGTTTTGGAGATATTTGCGAAAAGACGAAAAACCGTTTTTGGGCGCCATCTTTTGGCAAGATACCGGCGTCGGCCAAAGATGACGGTGGCGGCGGCATGGCTCGGAACATGCATTTTGTGAATTTATGGGCATCAAAACCTATAAACCTACAGTACCAAAAAACTTACTTATAACATCAATCTCCTAGTCTCTAGATGCCACTACTCCGGTAGTATTTATTGTACGAGAGCCTAGAAGCGCCATATATTTTTTATAATTGTCAGATACTATAAGTGATAACTAGCCTACTTGACAGATACTGAGTGCTAACTAGTATACTTCGCAGATACTCAAGTGAGAGCTAGAGACAGGACACATCGAATAATGCGGGGTGCCGCCACACGTTTGTTGGCGTTGTCGTTTTCACTGGTGCGAGATGCAGTTCACTGATTAATAGTTATTTTTGTATCTAGAGCGCGAAATGCTACTTTGATGATCGAGACCTGATTTTTTAACGAGGCGTAGCCGAGTTAAAAAAATAGTCGAGATGATCAAAGTATTTCGCGCTCGAGTTGCAAACAAAATTTTTTTTACAAACGTCGAAAAATATAGTTCTTAGGTAAAAATATGCTTAGCTTGATATTAAAAATAGTGTTGAACTGGCCTAAAAGGCCTCCCCCTATCCTGCCTAGGTACGCACGATGTTCCAAGAACATAATAGATATTTCCTTTCGTGCGCTCCAACAGATAAAACAAAGTTATTGTTGAACATTCAGAAATAAATGATTGCGTGGATATTTGCTCGATTGAGGACCATGAAGTTGAAATATAAATATCTCATATATTTCACATAACAATGCGCGAAGTAGGTACCTACTTCGCGCACTGTTTTACTTCGCGCATTGTTTTGTGCAAGGTATCATGGTAACGTAGGAAACTGAAAAAAAGTGTCACTTCGCAGTTTGTTATCGATGCGCGAACGTTGTCATTTTTTGACGTTTGTAGAAAAAATTATTTTTTCTTGCACATAACAATGCGCGAAGTAAAACAGTGCGCGAAGTACCTACTTCGCGCATTGTAATGTAAAATTAATGAGATATTTATATTTCAACTATATGGTCCTCAATCGAGCAAAAATCCATGAAATAATTTATTTCTGAATGTTCAACAATAACTTTTGTATTATCTCTTGAGCGCACGAAAGGAAATTCGTATTATGTTCGTGGTACATCGTGCGTACCTAGGGAGGATAGGGGGAGGCCTTCAAAGCCAGTTCAACACTATTTTTTATATCTAGCTAAGCATATTTTTACTTTAGAACTATATTTTATGACGTTTGTAGAAAAAATTTTGTTTGCAACTCGAGCGCGAGCATTTCGCGCTCTAGATACAAAAATAACTATTTAAGTGACTATGTTAACTCGGAGGTTCTTTGGTGGGCCCGAACCGACTGAGAGACTTCCGAGTGTACCGGCCCAAGGCGGGCCTGTCTGCGCTGACAGTGCTGATAAAGCGTTAATATTCTTTGGTACTGACACATCAGTATTGGCTTGGCCTTCAGACTTATACGCGGACTTAGTGCTGCAAACTCCATAGTGTACAAAATTCAGCCTGTTATTGCTTCCTGCGCCCTACTCATCCTCCGACACCTATCCTAACCCTCACCCATCTCCCCAGTCCCCGTAAACTTGGGCGATTTGCTCGATGAATTACCGAAATTGTGGTTTTTTCATTTTCCACAAACACCAGAATGTTGATTTGTAGAGAACTCATAAAAACAGCAATCTAAATATTTGAATTTCCCCTCGACCAATAGGCGTAGGGAAAAAATAATACGAAACTTGTCAAACCAATATGGCTGTTTCCATCCTTCCCTCTCCGTCCTTAAAGATTCAAAAAGTACCTCTCATTTTGGTCCCATTTTTGTTGAGATATCGTATGGGCGATGGGCCATATATAGAAATAGTATGTGGTTAACTCCCCAGACAGCACTGGATATTCATAGAATATTCTCTAAATATGCTAAAAAGGAGGAGTATATTCCGAATATTCATCGATTATTCCTAGAATATATACATGCCTCTGGAACATCTAAAAGGAATATTCCAAAGTGAATAGTCGGACATGTTCAGGGAATATTCAGGTATGAATCTTCCAGGAATATTCCCAACTGAATATTCTCTGTTGTATATTCATGAAATATACCCAACTGAATATTCTGTGCGGTATATTCATGAAATATACCCAACTGAATATTCTGTGCGGTACCTATATTCATGAAATATTCTCAACTGAATATTCTGTGGTGTATATTCATGAAATATTCCATGAATATTCCTATGTTTTTCAACACATAAATACCATTTATTATTTCAGAGATGTGAGTATCGAACATCAATTAGATGTGAGGGGATTTTGAAACAAAAAGTGTTTATGATCCGATTTCGAACAATGCTCTCACAAGAACTTGATTTGTATAACATTATTCAATTCGATTACTGGCCTAGTGGTCAAGGCGTTGCTCTGATAGTCTCGAGGTCACGAGTTCGATCCCTACTTGGGTCACTTTTTTTCATTTTAGAATATGTTTATTGGAATATTCCAGGAACATTCAACATAGAATATTCTTTTGGGTATATTCTATGATTATCTGAGGAATTCCCATTCGCATATTTAGAGAATATTCCACAGATATTCCGGAATATTCCAGATTATTTCTAGAATATTCCAATATTCCAAAAGGAATATGATAGGGAGATTCATGGAATATCTGGTGCTGTCTGGGTCGTATAATTGACAGATACTTAAGTGTCAACTAGCCTAATTGACAGATTCTTAAATCTCAAGTGGAAAATAGCCTGTCAGTGAATTAGCAGTGCCACAGCCGTCTTCAACTATCGCCACAGCCAAATGGAGTGTATCCAGGAAAGTATTTAGAAAAATCCTACTTGTCGATTTTATTACTTTTAAACTTCAACACCCTGTATCATGGAAACGGAGCAATTTTGAACTAGGGTAACTTGTTCAAATCGGCTTTTTTGAAGGTCATTGAATCGTTTGCAACTTCTTTTTTTGATACAGACTGAAGGTTGAGCCGTCAAAATACACTATAAAAGGTATAAAAAGAGCGATTTTCAAAAATTTACATGATTCTATAGCAAATATCTCGAAAACTATATGAAAGATAGGAAAAAATCCGACTGATACAATTTTGTAGATAATTTGATCAACTACAATTTTGAATAGATTGACTTCTCTGCTGACACCGTTTTTGAGATAAATACAATTAATCAAAAAAGGGAGCTTCTACGTCGCCCCCCTCACTTGGCTCACCTTGTAAGTTCGGGGACTTATGAAATTTTTACTTGCTATCTACTTCAAAGTCCGAACACATCCCTAGTGTCAAAAATTATGTCCTCTTCCATGTCTTCTATATAAGGTTATGCTGCACAATGCTAAACTGGTTTGTTCATCCATTTTGTTGATCACCTCCACCATTTTGCTGCTCGTCGAGTTGCTGCTGGACAATAGACGACAAGGGACACCGTGACGTCAGGCCAGGAAAAATATGAGGCATCCTTATAGAGTTTAATAGTCTTGTTATACGACGCTATACATAGTGGAGTATACTACGGCCGTGCCAAAAATGCTATCTCGGAAACTAAGCGAGATAGAGGTATAGTTGCTTTGGAGAAAATGATCCCCATCGAATTTTGAGCAACTTTGGTTTTTGTGTGTGGTCTGTCTGTCTGTCTGTCTGTACTCTGTGTTAATCATAAATCGATATATCTCCGGAACCCTTTGACATATCGACTTGAAATTTTGCCATCTTATTGTACTCAAAACAATATCATTGAAATATGAAGGAAATCGGAAAACTCTAAGGTGGTATTTCCGGGTTTTTTCGATTTTTCACCGGAAGTTTCTTGTAACCACTCTACAAATCGCAAAAGTGGTCCGATCGATTTCATTTTTTGTGAAAAAGAACTCTATCAGGGAGAGACAAAGCCTATTGAAATTGAGCAGGGTCGGAAATTTCCAAGTGGGTTTTTCAAGGAGATTTTCCGAAACACACGGTTTGCTTCAAAACGACATATCTCCTGAACCAATAGACTAAATCCAAATTTGAAAAATGCACCGTATACCTCTTTGATGACGCAACAAATTATTATTTCACCATTTTTTCGTGCATCCATCGGAAAATGGAAAAACAAATGAAAATCAAAACATCAAAATTTGAAATCCTTTCAATTCAATATATATCTAAAACAAATGGAAAAATCGAAAATTATCAGGAGTGCAAAGTTATCCACTGGAACATTTCCTACAAATTATTTTCCATAATTTTTTCTGTAAACCCAATAGTACAGGAAATAAAGTGAAAAATATGAAAAAAAAAAATTTAACGACCCATAGGGTACTATGAAGATATATTGAAAAACAAAGATTATCGATAGATGAAGCTCATCGACTTCCACTGAACCATGAAATATTTTTTCATTTCGTTGATTGGAAGATGGAACAAGAGTGTTGAAAATTTTATTCTCAGATAATTCCAAATATCTCGAAAACAACTGAAAATATCTGAAAATGTTATGGAACCAAAATTATTCCTTTTGATAAAATCTACAAAAAATCCATATAACATTTTTTTCTGAATTCAATAGTTCGGGAGATACGATGGAAAAACTAAAAAATTTACAAGTTCCTAATCACTTGCCAATAGAAAACAAAACAAAAAACAAAAGGAAGTAAAAGAAACACACTCGACTGTCGTGATTTTTTTCTCATAAACTACGTACAAGCTCACTCGACCGTCTGGAAAAACCAAGACAGTCGAGTGGGCTAAGTACGTAGTTTGTGGGAAAAATCTCCAGTTCTCTGAACTTTCATAGCGTCGTATATACATCTTTGGTGCCCAATGATAGTTTAAATATAATAATATGCTCATGATATGGTGCCATGGCCTCTACTTCCATCTTACATGAGCAATGATAAAATATCATCTGCTTTTATAGCGTCGTATGAATTATCTAACCTCTATACTAATCTAATACCTTATGAGAACTACATCAATACTAATCTGATACCTTTCAAAAACTACGTACCTCACTTGTTCTAAAGCCCCCTTATCGGGCGTTCATTGACTGTATATATTGAAACTTATTGATACATTTTTGAGTCTCCTTATTCAATGGTTTCCTACTCAGCTTATTCTGCATGGAGTATGGATCAAATCTTCTTCTTGGTTTTCCAATCAGACTGAAATTTGGCCCTAGTTCTAGAGAATATTGTATATCTGATATTATTTATTTCAATCCAATATGGCGAACGTAAATAGATGGCGGCGAAGTATTCCCTTTTTTCTCAAGTGATGTTAAGTTCAAATCTTTGCAAACAATCCATAATAATATATGAAATTATTAATTATATGGAAAGCACAACAATCATTCTGGTAATAAAGGCTTTATTACAATAAAGGACTTCAGAGTACTCTGTTGCTACAAATGTCCACATGTTTCTGATGATTTTTTTTTCATGATCTCCACTGTTTTATATCTACATACCTACCTTATAGTAGTAGGAGGCTAAAATCATCTTATTTGAAGATATATCTATGAATATAGATAATAATATTTTCTGATATTTCATCATGTTCAGCTCTGTTCAGGACCAGTTACAATCAAATAAGCCATACACTTTCTCCACATTATGTTCTTTATTGATCAATAATTGTCCAAGAATATAAAATAAAAATCAACAATTTAAAACATTTATGTATACAGTACATAGTTCCTATGTACACCATTTTAGAAAAACAAAAATATTAAATATACTCAATAAACTGTTACATTCCAAAATTTACAGAAACAATATTCAACTTTTCTAAAATTTTCGACTTTTAGAAAACAACATTATTACAAGTCCCTATATAAAAAAAAACACACTTCAACTTCTTATTTATATATTTTTATATATAAATTACTTTGGGATATTCAAAGAAATACTCCTATTTAGGGGAAATACTATTAAGACATTTGACAATATCATGAGGAATCTACTTCAAAAATTTAAAATTTTCGGACTTCTTTAATGTCTTCAAGGTTCAAAGCTTTATTGATTAAAGGATCCTAGTGAACCATTTCCAAGTCAGATTCTTAGTCCATCTCAAACTTAATCTGATCCTGTTTTATTCTTTTCAGGTCTGGTTCTTGCAGGTTGTCTAAATTTTCCCCAGTACTCGAAGGACTGCCAACACTTTGTTCATCTATGTGCCTTTTCATATCTAAGCCTATGTTAGCGTAATTTCCGCTGCTACAAAAAATACCATTCATTAGATACATTGAAATATAGGACGACTTCAACTTAAACACAAACCGCCCTAGGCCTTCTGATGAATTTTCATGGAATTAGTTTTACACTGTTTAGGGGTCCTCACTTTTATTGGACGAAATGGGGTGCATTTTTGGACACATGTTTATATGAAGAAAGTCTTGTTTTGATTCTAACAATACGTCCTTGAAATATATTTACATCGAATTTTGAATCACCCTGTATTGACCACAATCGACAAATAAATACAACAAACACAGAGCATAAATACTGAACCGTGAATAAATAAATGTAATGTTCAGAGAACATCGTGAGAACCAAGGGAAATAAGGTAGGAATTGGTGTTCTTCTTAAATTTCTGGAGGATGCCTCGGGGAACACCTCCAGAGCCTAGCTGTTCGTTGGATGATGACCATGAAAACATTATTTCAAATAAACGAAGCTATCTTGAAGTTTTTTTTTAAACAAAATTATGAGCGCGATGCTACATTGCATTGATTAATATTTTGGAAACAATGAGAATAATCGACTTCAAAACTTTTAGAGTCAGAAATTTAGTTTGATTCTATGAACTTCAAGATTCAACTTTGAATATTGGTATTGAAGCTATTCTATATACTGCGTGTCAACGAATCTATAAGACAAGCCATAACTTCAATCAGCATGTCCAAATATTTCTTATTCTCCATAACAAAATATGTAAATGTTCCAGACTCAGCAACATTGTGGTGAATTCACGGATTCAAATGTCCTCTAGTGTGAATTAATGTAATTATTATTTACACAAAGGACCCCGCACCATTTACATTGAAATCTTGTCTACGGTGAAATTTTGTGAAAATCTGGGATTGGATAGATCGAATTATGCTGAACAAGACATAACCTCTTCCAGAAAAGCACATCCTGTGTGTAATGTGGTTTTGGCTAATATGATATTTTTGAGTGGTCAAATAATGGTTATTCAAGTTATGCCAGTAAAAGTCATTGAGCAAAAGCGTATAACTTTGTTCAAATACGTTGCAAGTCTCGACCGGGACTATTAGTGGTCTTTCCACCAATCAATGGTCGCAATATTATACCATCAGCGTTGACATGTTCCCGACAAGATTGGGCATTTTCAGGGATAAAAATATTATTTACAATATATACAGGGTGGGCAAAATTGGGCGTTTTCATAGGCTATCTCAGTAACTGAAGGAGTTATTAAAAAATCGATATACATGTTACGGGTTCGATTTTAGAGAAACTTCGAATGATATAATTGGAATTTTGATATCTTCATTCGTTTCAGAGATACAGGGAGAAATTGAAAAAGGGCCGATTTTGTTTTTATTTTCTGAGTACTTTATGTAGAGAGATATTGAAAAAATCCATTGGCATCATCAGAATTTTTTTTTTTCTAATGGAACACCCCGTATATTTTAGCACCTTTGGACAGTCCTAGGCATTCCATATTCAAAAATATATATATTAACCTACCTTTTTCTTCGACAAGTTTTGAAATATTCGCAAAAAGATACTCAATGTGTCACATTTCTCATGGTTGCACCTCTGTATCTTCCGTAATAATCATTGTGGTAGGATTACGATTACGACATTTGCAGCTGTGAGAGAGATGCCAATGAAACACTCGAGGATCAAGTGGGATCATCTCCAGTGATAACACTGCTCGCCAGCATCTATGGAATCACCGACATCTCTGGAAAATGCTATAAAGAGGCAGAATATAGGTTGAAAATGAAACTCTGTATATATTAACCAAAGTAGGAAAATATATATTTAAAATGTGATTCAAATATTTCATTTCTAGACAATGAATATTTGGTATGAAATGAAATTTGAGATTATTTGATTTGATATCATTGTTTATCTATAAATTCATACTATTCAAAATACAGAAATAAGACAAATAATTTATTAATTGGAAAATTAGTAGGTTACATGAAAAAATTAAGATCTATAAAAGATGTTCAAATTGTCCGTTTTGGCCTAAGCAAACTTCACATCGTTTCCTCACAGAATTCACTGCGTTGGTTAGATGAATGGGTCTCACTTCTTGGAATGCTGAAATGTCGTCTTCCACGCAATTCTTCAGCATTTTGATAATTTCGACGATATATATGATTTTTTAGAAATCCCCACAAGAAAAAATCCAATGGAGACAAGTCGGGTGAACGAGGGGGCCATTGAATCGGTCCATAATATGTAACAATCCATGTTTGTGAAAATTTTATATTCAGAATATCTGTTACTCTACGGGCATTAGGGATGGACATCCATCCTGTTTGAAATAAATATGCGGTAATCCTAATATAGTTTTCCACTCTCAAATTTTCCTCAAATATAACGTAGGCCAACCTGTATCCTTTGATGAAACAACTTATGTTGAAGCCAAACCTTCCCTGTTGCCTACTATCATGATGACTTCGAGGATTATGATCAGCCCCGTGGTGTTCATTATGCCTATTGAACAATCCAGCACTAGTGACATAAAATATTTGAATCACATTTTCAATGATATTTATTCTTCTACTTTGGTTAATATATACAGAGTATCATTTTCAACCTATATTCTGCCTCTTTATAGCATTTTCCAGAGATGTCGGTGATTCCATAGTTGCTGGCGAGCAGTGTTATCACTGGAGATGATCCCACTTGATCCTCGAGTGTATCATTGGCATCTCTCTCATAGCTGCGAATGTCGGAATCCTACCACAATGATTATTACGGAAAATACAGAGGTGCAACAAGGGTGCAACCATGAGAAATGTGACACATTGAGTATATTTTTGCGAATATTTCTGAAGTTGTCGAAGAAAAAGGTAGGTTAGTTTATATATTTGAATATGAAATGCCTAGGACTATCCAACTGTGCTAAAATATACGGGGTGTTCCATTAGAAAAAAAATAATTGACTGCCGTATCTACTTGATGTCACCCTGTATAAAATTTCTGATGATGCCAATGGATTCTACGAAACGAAATCGGCAATTTTTCAATTTCCCCCTGTATCTCTGAAACGAATGAAGATATCAAAATTCCAATTGTACCATTCGAGGTTTCTCTAAAATCGAACCCGTAACATGCATATCGATTTTTTGGTAACTCCTTCAGTTACAGAGATATCCTATGAAAACGCCCAATTTTGCCCACCCTGTACATTGACTCTAGCAACTAATGATAGTTGAAGTAAATTATTATTTGCGTCACAAAATATGCACACTCTTGCATGGATGGGAAGGACAACATTCAGGTTCATAGAATCAACGTTATCCCGAGTTCCAAGTTCCTCTATAATGGATCAATTACAGTTCAGAAATAAATGAATACAATTGGTTAGTGGTATATCCTATCTTCCTAGAACCTGTCGACGATGTATTGCGATTGCTTGCTGCTCAACATTTTGATCTCAATCGATGTATGCCATAGCATTAATATTGCCTTCACTATCGCATATAAAGCAACGAAACCTATTCTGATAACCCATCTGCTTATATGTATTTGAACAAAGTAATTGAAAATTACCGTAGCATTATTGATGACTTTAGCACCTAAAAATAGACCCCAAAAATTCTTAAAAAATATAAAACAGAAAGGTATTTAAGTGATGACTCTATTTAAGTAATAAAAAAATAAGGTCTAATACATTTGAATTATCTTTGAATATTATCGAAATGTTGTAGTCATCATAGTCTAGTGTCCATTTTAATATTTATAATTAATAATTTTCGATACCAATGGAAAAGTCGATGATGAATATTTTTTCAAATCGTTTGAGCCGTTTTATGTCGGATCTCAGGCTATAGAACCTACCATGGTGGAATTAGTATGGTGTGCTACAACGCATCTTCGAATACGCCACTGGGAGTAAAACAATTGCTAGCAGTCTGAGCTCACAGTTATCAGTTCGCCCGAGTCGCCGTGATCATTTTGGTGCGAGTATAGACTCGCAATGACGTAATGCGCAGAAAAGACGAATTCAAGATACCTGAGTAGCACACCATATATATTTCCACCATGGAACCTACCATTATATTTTTTCGAAGTTCAGCTATATTGGCATAGATGGCTTGATTCAGTGGCAAGTCTAACCACAAAAACCAGAAGAGTTCTGATCAAGCATCGTCGTTAATGCCTTTTATGTTCCATGGTGGCTTCATGACTGATGTTCCATGCATAAACATTGTTTTTTTCTGATTCAAATTTGAGTTTATTTGAATTATGAGAATATACAGTGATTAATTATTGATTTGTTCAAGTTCAAATGCATAAAACTGATAATGACTGATAGATGTGATGGACTAAATGATTTAGCCGATGATTGGCCTAAGTTTGAATGAGACTATAGATTATTTATTTGCTCCATTCCGTCATCGAAATACCTTGAATTGTTGGTCTTACCGATGGTCTGACAAAGGTCTGAACAAATTGAGTTGTAATTTTTGCAAGTTGAACTTACCTGTAGGGTGAATAGTTAGCAGTTTGGACAATGACCGGTTGTGGGGAAAATGCTCCTGGCGATAAAGATCTCTCCTCCATGATAGAGCTCATGTATTTCTCTGAAAATGTATAGCAATAATCTGTTAGATTGAAAATGTACAGACTCTGGGTACTCGGCAATCATTGCCTGGTATTGAAATTATTTATATTATTATTGCGAATACCAGTTCCCGCCAGTTAGAGTTCTCTATTTGGCAAAATAGGATTAGGTTGACAGTTATCAATTAAATTATTCTATCAAAATTTTCATGAAGGAATTATTCAGTACATGCGTTAGTCAAGAAGAAGAATGTTTATTTCTCAAGAAGATTTTTGGGGAGAGCTCCCAAATTACCTAAAGGTAGATTCACATATAACGTTGATGCCCACTATCGCATGAAATGGTCAATACTTTTTTACACTCAACCGGTTTCTGAGTACTGAATTCTGAAAACAAGTATCTCTATGGGCATCGCCCCAGCTTCTCAGGTAAAGCACTAGCCTTTCCAAGTAAATAAAATAGTGCCACTGCTCACGAGCAAACACGGCACTGAACTCGGACAGATGTACAAACACAGAAACGTGGAGGTCCAGCTGTCCGAGCCTAACTAGAAGGAGGTTTTTTGTTTGACATTTTATTTTTCCTCCAAAAACCGGAAACACTCCCTGCACTGATCACGTATGAGCAACTCCCCCCCCCCACTGGGTACCCACAGTGAGATTACCTTTATAAAGGGCCTAGCCCTAGGAGATACACCAGCCACCTCTGCGTCACGCGGAGGGGCATCTAGGGGCACTATATGATGCTCCAGATCATGATATACACGGTATGATTGTAAATTTGTGCTGTAAATTAATAGGATAAAGGAAATAAACGACTTTAATACTAGCCTTTCAATATCTGAAGTTAAGCAGTGTCGAGCGCGGTTAGTACTTGGATGGGTGACCATTCGAGGAAAGTGAGGGTTGCTGGGCTGTGTGCACGTGAATATATACCAAAGAAGGGAAGATTTGTATTTCGTGCAAGAAAAGTATTAGAAAAGTATTGAGAAACTTGCACAAATACAGACATATTAAAAACATACACAAATATGTAAATTCCCTACTTAATAAAAAAAATACACAAGATAGATAGTATCATTATTGAGCACCAGACCTCAGGGCAGCCATATATTCTTCTATGGAATAGAGGGCATTCAAAATTAGAAAATCTTGTGAATGTTTTTTAAAGTTGTATGGATTACAATTTTTTACACATATAGGGAGTGCATTGTAGATTCACATCCAGAGAATTTTTGCTAGATTTATGCAATATCCAACAAAAGTTGGTATGTATATGTAAATCGATGGTAGCGTCATGATTTTTAGGGATTTGAAGAATGATTTACATGAATCAATGGTAGAAGGTTCACCCTCACTATTCCAAGCAGGGAATGTTATACGGATGGATTGCGCCAAACTGACAAACAGGACTCAGGTGCAGGAATTTACCTAGAAGGAATAGGCATAAGGGAGAGCTACGCTCTTGGAAAGTATACCACAGTTTCCCAGGCTGAGGTCTTTGCCATTCTGGCAGTAGCGGAGAGGCAAGAGGTGAAAGAGGGACCAGAGAAGAAGATTTACATCTGCTCGGATAGTCAGGCGGCTCTCAGGGCTGTCTGCCATCCTAAACAAAGCTCAGCTTTGGTGCAGGAATGTGGCGATGCTCTTGAGAAACTAGCTGAACAGAAGGAAGTCGAACTAGTATGGGTTCCGGGGCACAGGGGGGTGCCCGGGAACGAGGTGGCCGACGAGCTGGCCAGAATCGGATCCGCGACACCGTTCTGGGGGCCGGAGCCTGCACTGGGCATAACAAGAAGCCAAACTTCGTCTGCCCTTAACAAATGGGCGGCCGAGGCACTAGAAGTATATTGGAGACGTATAGGCGGCTGCAGGCAATCGAGAGACCTGGTGGCCGGTCGTCTGGGCAGGGATCGTCAAGTCCTGCGCCTTCTTATAGGGATACTGACAGGGCACAACAGGTTACGCAGGCACCTATCACTCATAGGTGTGGAAGATAGTCCCACTTGCCGCGAATGCGGAGAAGATGAGGAGACATCACTTCACTTCCTCGGAGAGTGTGAGGCGTATGGAAGGATGAGATTCGAAATCTTTGGAGTAGATAAACTACAACAGGAAGATTTGGTCGAATTAGAGTGGACGGACATCCTGACCTTCATCAGAAGGACGGGATGGTTCGAAAAGGACAACTAAAAGAGGGATGTGGAGAGCAGGGGTTGGCACTTGCCTGGCTACAGCCTCCCCACAGTACTACTACTACTACTACATGAATCAAAGTAGCCAGCACCAGCGATAATTCTTATTGCTTTCTTTTGCACATATTCCGATGGCTTTTGTGCTATTGCCCCTAAAGTTGTTCCATATGAAATTTCGAAGTGGACGAATGCATAATATGCTGATAACAGTGCCTGAGCGCCAATAATATTCTTTAGTTTTCGGAGAAGGAATATATATATTTGGAGATTTTATATATATGTATTATTCTTTTATTCACTCAAACCATTGTAATATAGAATATAGAAAATATAAAAGGACAGAAGTTCAGCTGTGTCCGAACTCTTATCTACTGATACCATCCAGTGACCCTAGTCGGGATAACGTTTTCAACTTCCCTTTATAACATTATGGCGAAAAATTGTCAAATTTTACGATACTGGTATCCATCATTGGGAATATTCCCTCTCACTCACCTTCTCTGTACTCCTGCCCGTTCGACCCGACCGGCCTCTCGTCTGCGGCGTGCGGCATCAGCAGCCTCGCCTTCGTCGCCCCCACCAGCGCCGTCATCTGCTGGTGGCCGATCATGCCGCCCGAGCCCGGGTAGGCGGGGTTGCCGCCACCGCCGCCCCCCGGGCTGCCGGGCGCCGATTGGCTGGCGGCGTCCGCGAGGTGCTCCATGGTGGGGGAGCCTTCGCGCGACAGGCACTCGGGCGTCATCAGGTCGGCCATGCCGCCGTGCGAGGGGGAGGCCGGGGCGCTCCTGCGGAAGGGCGCTAGCATGAGTGGTTCGGCGTGTGCATCGAGAAATTGCGGAGGTGAAGGAGATCACCGAGTGTTCGATAAATTATACTAGAGTTCATGAATGTACTTGACACTGCTGTTTTGACATTTTTTGTATATTAGAGTACGGACACTATGACAAGCACTGACAATCAGACATAACCACAAATAAATAGATTGAAAAGGGGGGAACTGACAGTACAAGGACGTACATGACATACATTTCGAAGGTTTGACAAATTGAGACACTTAGGAGAAAGATGCAAGTTTGTGCAGTTTCCAACTGTGAGAACACGGGAAATCAATCCTATATTCGAATTTCCACCGGATATCGTGATTCTAGAAAAATGGAAACAGAATATGATGCGGCCGTCATGAAATATAGGTTCAGGCCACATAATTTGCGAGGTACTCATATTTCTTGGTAGTATATAGAACATTTTTCAACGCATTTTTATCAGGTACATTTCAGAAGGAAAGATTTGATGTTGAAGAATAGGATCGTATTGAGAGAAAGAGCCGAACCCACAATTTATAAACTGAGCGAGTATCGAAAAAAACCTTATTCCAATTTAGAACCAACAAGAAACGAAAAACTTGTAGTAAATGAAATTCATTTCGAACATATTTTGAAAGAAAATGGCATGAGAATCGAATGTTCCGAGCAGGAATATTGAAAAATTCAAGGTTTACGAGTGGAAAAGAGTGAGGAATTCATCAGGAAACAAATAGAATGAAAAAATAGATTAATATGTTTTGAGAGAGGATGAATGTCTCTATAATTTAATGAAAATAATTTATCATGTACCTTTTTTTGAATCGTTGATACTGATCAAAATATAATTTTATTACATTAAAAAATGGCACGCCACTCTTTTGTATTACAATAAAAATCAGCTTCTTGATCTCTTATTAGTTGCTAACAAAAATAACCTCTTGACTTTTTTTTGTTAGACAAACGGTTTTGGATTGAAGAAATAAAATAGGTTTACATGGGGCGCCCATATCTAATATAATTTTGAACCAGTATGTAAATCTATTTTTTCTGCAACCGACACAAAAGTCGTCCATTTTGATACCAAAATTAGCTCTTAAATTGACGTTTCTATTACTGACACAAAAATGGGTATGTTGCTAGGCAACATATTTAGTTCCTAGGATCTAAAGTTGAATTTTAGTTCCTAGGAGCTAAAGCTGAACTTTAGCTCCTAGGAACTAAAAAGGATGTACTGGACGTCATCGAGAATGAACAACTTTGTGACGGTTGGTTATTTGGGTTAAGATGATTTGTTTCCGATTTCAGCAGATTTGGCATTTCATACCCATGCTGGAGATATAAATACACCTTATTATAATAGTTTGGTATTGGAATTATAAACATCTCTGTTAAGTATTTTTGTTTTGATCAGGGAAGCCTTCAAGATTCAAATACTTGCTTGATCTGTATTTCATTTGTTATTCTCGGGATGGATAACTTGTTTTTGAATAATCACGGCAAGCAATCGGTTTTTTGTCTCAAACAACGATGTTGTTTAGCTTCATTTGATTAACAAGTCAAACACAGTGTAGTATGGAGATGAATAAATAATCACTATCATCATTGTTGATATGTTCACTGACCTAACATTTTCCACGTCTTGTTCCTATAGCTGGCACTGGCGCGGTATTTGCCATTAGAGCACCTGGTCCATACACAAATATGTCACTCTGTGGTTGTATTTATATTGAAACTACAATTCGATCACTCAGAAACCCTAACCTGCTGTTAATGCATGGTAGAATATTCTCACTACATGAAGTATTTGTCAATATTTGTTGCATTGCATACATATGGCACGGCATTGGTGGTTACTTCACATGTTCATTTGAGTTGATTGTTTCGGTTGCAGAAAAAATAGCATGTTTCATTCGGATCAAAAGTGACTTTGTTCGACTCGCAAATTTTGCTTTCGCTCGGCTTCGCTAAACGCTCCGCCTCGCAAATGCAAAATTCGCTTGTCAAACAAAGTGTCACTTTTGATCCTAATAAAACAATCTTCTATTATTCTTTCAATCCAAAACCGTTTGTCTTAAGAAAAAAGTCAGGAGGTTCTTCTTGTTAGCAACTAATAAGAGATTACAAAACTCATTTTTATTTTGATAAAAAACAGTGGCGTGCCATTTTTCAATGTAATGAAATTATATTTTGGTCAATATCAACGGTTGAAAAAAAGGTAGATGATAAATTATTTTCATCAAATTATAGAGAAATTTATCCTCTCTCATAACATATTAAAATTAATATACCATTACATTTGTTTTTTTTTTGAAGAAAACTAAAAAATTTGCTAACATTTCAATTAACGCCATCTAGCGGCGACAGCAAAAGTCAAAAATTCAAAACCGAATGAGCGTTTTGTAGGACAAATTATGCTCTTTCATATGAGCTTAAGTTAGCTAAAATCGGTCGAAATAAACGGGAGAAATTTTGGTTTGTTTAAAAAAACAATTGAACTTCCCCCACCGCTTTATTTTGAAAGATAGAACAAAACGTTTTAGACAAAAAATGTAGGGAAATGGTCAGTAAATATGAAAATGATATCATCGATATACTTTCATGGGACAAAATTCTATAAAAATACCATTTTTCTACTTGGTGTTGGTTGTTACGCCCTCTACCGGACGTTTGACAAACTCGAAAATGATTTCCAGCAATTTCTCTTGGCAACTTTTATCATGATTTTTTTTTCTCAAATCTATACGACCAATATTTTATGGGATATGGCCGCTCGCTACCCTTAACTGACCACCCTGTACTTTTGGACTTAGCAGACTTTGCATAACCAAAAATTCATTGCTTATAGATGCATGTGGAATGTTATTGGATAGCCAGCGTAGCCTCGTGGTTAAAGCGTCAATGGTCTATCCACGTTGGATTACCGGTAGGTGGGTTCGATTCCCACCACGACCGCAGACATTTTTCCGATGGCTTAAGAAACTGTTTGGGATCACACGTTAGAAGGTTAGACCCCCGTCATTCCTTGCTCGCACAAGTCTCTTGCAGACTTCTGAGGGTTGCTCGTAAGGGAGCATCCGAATGATGGATAAGAACAATTTTAAAAGAATACAGTACATTAATTGATAAATAATACCGGGTCTTCAACAATAATTGAGTGTCGAGTGACTATTTTTTATCCACCCACGTTAAAGAGATACGAATGTATTCTTGGTTGTAACCAACGTAGGTGATCCATAACTTACAGTGGAGGTGATATAAAACAGGAGGGGTGAAAGAACTTACAGTCACAACTCCACCACATAAAAATTTTAATAATGACCAACGGTCATGGACATAAAAAGGACATGTTTCGAAGGATTAATCCTTCATCATCAGCAAATGTGTTGGTTGCATAGTGATCTGTCCCGTGGTTTTCAATTATTGTTGAAGACCCGTCACAAATTATCAATTCTTGATGACATTTCAATGATTTGATGACTTTATACAGGGTATTATTTACCGAGGCTCACATATGATCTTGCATTATAGCAGTACGTATGGATGAACGCTACTTTTTCTGGAAAAATTCATGCTCTACAATTTTTATAATAGGTGTTAACATCATTGCCTAGTTTCAAGCCCACTAATAGTAATTGGGAAGTGACAAAATTTTGCCTAAAAATAACTATTACAGATCCTTCAGCTCTCCTGGGATGAAATGTTCTTGACTGTCAGGAAGGCACGGTAGTGTGGTACACTGACGGGTCTAAGACTGATGAGGGTACGGGAGCCGGAATATATGGAGATAGACCCAGAACTAGGATTTGTGCTTCCTTGGGGAGGTATGCTTCAGTATTCCAGGCAGAGGTGCATGCTATTGAGGCATGTCTGAGAGAGAATATCGTAAGAGGATACAGAGGTAAACAAATCCTCATATGCTCAGATCTTTAACATGCAATAAAATCAGATCAAGACTGGTCTGGGATTGCCTTCAAAGCCTGCTAACCTTGGCTAACCACAACAAGGTAACTCTTCAATGGGTGCCAGGGCATAAAGGAATTGAAGGCAATGAAGCAGCTGCGGCGTTGTTTATGGGACCGGAACCTGTGTTCGGTATCCCTAAAACCTCAATACGCGGCTGGCTGGCAAGGTGGACGCAAGAAAGACATCAGGCATTTTGGAACAATGTTCCAGGACAAAGACACAGTAAACTGATGGTTGAAACACTGTCCAGAACAGTGACTAACGAAATTCTGAGCCTAAACAGATGTCAGATTAGACAATTGACGGGACTAATAACCGGTCACTGCCCCCTGAGGAAGCATATGCATCAAATGGGCTTCTATACAGACGAACCCATATGCAAACTATGCAATGAGGAGCAGGAAACTGCCACCACCGTAATATTGGAGTGCGAAGCACTAGCACGTTGGAGATACAACCTTCTGGAAGCATTAAACTCTCAAGAGGCTTTTCCAACGAATGATTTGGTTAAGAGGCTGCTAAACCTTATCAAGGTAGCGAACCAGTTCACCTGAGTCAACAGCATGATCAGGAATACAATAGGCCCAAAGGCTGCAGTGTTTTGGGCTTCAAACCCTGACTGATTTTTCTGCTATTAATCAATCAATCAACATCATTGCAGCTATAGAAACCTAGATTATCACAAAAAAACGAATTTTGTGACCATTGACTTTCACTAACTTACGATGCAGACACGAGATTTTCGAGACAACTTTTGGAACGTCAAAATGAAGGTGTATACGAGTCTTATCTCTCATTCCGAGGTTGACCCCTTTTTTTTCTTGAATGACTGGCGACTATAGTAGTTTATATTATTCATAGTCGAATGAAAGAAAGTACCAACCATGACATCAGATAGATCTCAGACATTTTTTTTCTTAATTAGATGTTCGTGGCGGTATATCGGGTAAACTATGACACTGTGCAATTTATGTTTGAAAACAAAACAATAGCAGTTAGTTACCTACAAAAATACAAAAATAATCTTTCATGTATTTGACAAATGTTCAACTGTTTCCGAGATAAACGAGCCCAGGCATAGCCTGGATTTCGAGCTGCTGCGCCGCGTCTCGGAATTCACACTCCGTGAAAATTGGATTGAGCGGGCAGCCAAATTGTCAATTGTCCCGTAACCTGGGTGAAAATTTATCTTTTTTCACCATTCAAAGTTCACACGGAAGGAGTTGTAGCTAGCTATAATATCGTAATACTTTTTTTCTGGGATATTGAAAAATCTGGCCAAACTTTGTGTTTGCTCCACACTTGACCCTCCTTATCTCAGCTCCTTATCAATCCATTTACTTTTTTTTATCAATAAATAATTTTTGTGTATTCTTGAAAAACAACGTGTTTTTCTTGGTTTTTGTTTTTGATTTCTGGAGTTTTCCGAAATGCTCGAGTCTATCGAGGATTGATAAATAATGGAGGGCTCAATGCACATCATTGAAAAGCTGAAAACGTCACTTTATCGATGGCTCTTTTATTTTTCTTCCAAGTTTTTTAGTTCTCCGGAAAATTGAGAAAATTCTCACCTCAATGAAAAATATAGGTTGAGAATTGCACTAAATAAAATATCAGACTTCCAGCTTTTCATCAATATATTCAGGGTGTCCCTAAAAGGTCTTTAAAACAACGTACCACATATTCCTCAGACCAAAACAATTCGATACAAGCAAACTTACCTCAGTACAAAGTTGCTTAGTTTGGACGCTAGGCGGATGTGAAGTTACAATTTTCAAATCGTTTTGCTTTTCTCAACATCGAAACTGCTCATGAGATTTCACTCAAATTTGATACATTGGCATAGCTTTACTGGACAATAAAACCCATAATATTAATATGTTAAATATCATTTCATTAGCGTAGAACTTTATTTTTTCAGTTAATAATCATCAACAACTTCTACGCCAATAGGAAGAAAGGAAATATGGAATTTTCATTACGTTTTTTATTACTACAAAAATGGTATTCTTGATAAAATTCGATTACTCTCATGGTTTCCACAAAATTTTAATTTCAGTAATTCAAAGCATCAGTCAACACTAAAACGGTTAGCAGATATTTCATATAACTTGTTCAATATTTTCATCATTTCCAGCTATTTTTGTTGTTTTTATTTTGTACCGAATAAGCCAGACTAAGCCGGAATACTCCACTTTTGCTTATCTGTAGGACCAATATTAACTGAGATAGCTATTGAGTAAAATAACAATCTCCCTTTACCCATAAACACCTACAAGTTAAGAAAAACAATTTCTGGATCTGTTGTCAAGTTTCCGGGGTTTTCCGGCCTTTTTATACTGGACTATCAGCCATGTAACTTATACAGCTACATTCATGACAGCTTACAAAACATTACTAAACTTTAACAAGGTGTCAAATGTTCGATAAAGTAGAGTGGTTTATGTTATTTAGCCATATTACTTATACATTAGTTACATTCATGACAGTTCACAAAACAACTGGTTCGACAATTACATCTAGAGATTCGGTAAGTGATCGAGTGAGGGAGATCCTTGAATGTTTATATCATTTAGCCATGCCACTTATACAGCTACATTCATGAGAGCACACAAAACAATACTAGACTTTGACAAGGAGTTCAATTACCGATGTTCGAATTGAAAATACAACTATTTGTGTACTTAGAGAGCAATGTGGTACATTTCCGCTCGACAAAGAGAACACCTTTGGAGAGAGGCAAAGACACATATTGTGTGATTTTTTCTACAAACGCAACTCTCAACGAAATAGAAAGAAAAATGACCGATGAGTAAGAAAACTATTCTGGCCACCCTGAAAAAAAATTGTTTTGCTGAGATCTACCACCACTGGAATTTTGTCATACTCTTCATGGCACACTAAATAATATTTGATACTAAATATCATTAATAGGAAACTTCACACTTGTGATGAAAAATGATGAAAAAAATATTAAACATAATCAATGATCAATGTGTGGAGGTTCTTGGATGTATGTAGTGACATTATAGTGTTACATTATATTCTTACAGATTGGTGTGGACGGCCTACGTATATTGATTAAGTAACTAGCACATGATGACTATTACTCAAAATGAAAATTTATGTAGCAGGTCGAATACTGTATTTTATCTACAAACATTTATATCAATGCTGAAGCCGCTTTTGAAGTAATAATTAAAAAAAATAGATAGTGAAAATGTCATACACTGCGAGACCCTGGCTGGACATTTTTTTCTGACTGAGATAAGTATTATTATCAACAATAGTATCTACGTGGAATGTACTGTCATTTGCCGATTTGTATTGGTACTGCAATGATTGCAAGATATAATTTGACGAGAGGATGGGATGTCAAAACAGTACACAATCTTGCTGTCATTATTACTCAATTCACAACAGCAATGACTTTTATTAATCGTTCAAAGTCAAAAGCAGAAATGGGTGTATAACTCATTGGTTTTACGTAATAGCACATACCTGGAACTTAAACCGAAAGGAGCTCTGAAACAAGACACTCCTCTTTGTCTTCTCCGCCTGAACGCTTGTTCAATCAACTTCGATTCAGATTGAGGATCTATTCTCCAGAAAGAACCCTTTCCAGGTTCTTCCTGACTCCTCGGAACCTGACAAAAAAAAGGGATGAATTCGTGTCAGCAAAACACAGCAAAATTAAACTCACTTTTATGAAATATCTGTTGAGACTTAGATTATGTCTGATAGAGTTTTGCCAACCCTTGTCAGCAGTACGGTAATAGGGGTAGTTCTTAGTTATGTAACTGTAAATGCCTGATAGCGTGAGCTGCTTATCGGAAGCACTAGCAATGGCTTGCACAATGAGTTGCGCGTATGAGAATGGGGGCTTCGAATCGTCTTTATTGCTGCTACCGGCGCCATAGGCCGATCCATCATTCATAACAATCGGTTGTACCTGAAAAATAAAAATAAAATAAGAAATTCAATAGGAATCGATTTTTTATCAACGGCGGAAAGATTGCAGCTCAACTTTGTTTCAATAACTCAGTAGTTTATCGAGAGCAGTATACATAAAAATATTCCACAGTATTTTCAAATGTACCTATTCCTGCAATCGCACGCGAAGAGAGTACTTTGCGTTCTCTACAAAGTACGCGAAGTACAACTTTGCAGCCATTACCCATAGCGACGACCGCCAAAACAGATAATATTCCTGAATTTGAAAGTTATAAAATAAGACAATTACAAAGGTTATTACCATGGTGAAAATATAATATGGTGTGCTACTCGCGTATCTTGAATTCGTCTTCTCTGCGCATAACGTCATTGCGAGACAATACCACAGAACTCATAATGCTTATATCTCATGTCTAGAACGCGCGATCGTATTCGCGACAGACCTATCGGAGTTCTTGAAAGCTGTCAAAGCGGCCTGTTCACTTTGTTTTTATTGGTTCACATTTGTTTTTTGTGTGTGCTTATTGGTCATATCATCAAAACAAAACGCTCAGAAGTGTTCAAGTTGTTGCCGTCAGATGGGGCGACGTGTTATTTTCTATCGCGAATAGGTCGCGTGCACGATGACCGACCCTGGAGTTAAAATATTGGAACACAACCTCACTCTTCTGTGAATTATTGAAACACAACCTCACTTTTTTATTTGGTTACAGAGGAATCAAAGGATTAAAATACTTTTTCACAATATTTTGGCAAACGAATCGTGTTTCTTGAGCTATTCATTAATTCAAGCATGCCTTCGCATTGTGCTGTCAAAAAATGCAGCGAGAGACGAAGGAATATGATTTTTCAGGTAAATAGTAATCTCACATAGTTATCCTTTTGAAATGTTGTCATTCTTTATGAGAATTCCTTCTGCCACTTCTGCAATACAAGCTGATACTGCTAATAGATTGAAAATGTCTACAACACACACGATCATATTTCGTCAGCATGTCAGACCAGTCCTCCAGTTTGATTGTATGAATCCAATCTTCTTGCATTATTTTAGAAATTTCACGTGTATTTCTATTAGCTCCTATTGCAGAAGGAATTCCGATGAGAAATCAGAGAAAACTATATGTGAGTGACTATAGTAGGTACTTACTTTTAAATCATAATGTACCAACAGCACAATGTGATGGCATGAGCGAATTAATGAATAGCCGAAAAATACGATTCGTACGCCAAAAGAATTGTGAAAAACTATTTCAATCACTTATAAACAAATAAGAAAAGTGAGGTTGTGTTTTAATGTTGTTCCTCCAGGGTCGGTCATCTGACAGTTCTTGCACGCAGCCCATGGTTTCATACCAAATTTCTGAACAAAACATAGGAGAAACTACTGAGATGTAGGTCATGCATTTTCATCAGTTTGTTTATGAACAACGGACAGTTGCTGCTTGTCATTGAATTTATTTCCGAGAAGTCTTTGGTAATATCAATATTATACATGGTTATTGTGATGGAGCAATATGTTCAAGACTGCATAACTCAGCAAAGTAAAAAGTTCTATTAGTAGGTACCTATCTAAAAAACTTGATGCCTATCTGTACCATATCACATGAGGTTTCTTGAATACAATCACAAAGAATGGTCTTGGCCGTCTTGGGATACAGTCAAACTTGGAATGACCATCATCTGACCATCTGTTCAATTTATTTAACAGAGGATGGTTTTCTTATGACCAAATTCATGGTGAGATTTGATGCCTAACTCAATTTGCGATAGAAAATAACACATCGCTCCACCTGACAGCAACATTTTGAACATTTCTGAGCGGTTTGTTATGATGATATGACCAATAAACACAAACAAAAAACAAATGTGAACCAATGAAAACAAAGTGAACAGGCCGCTTTGACAGCTTTCAAGAACTCCGATAGGTGGCGTACGCTTATTTTCTATCGCGAATACTGACATTATATTTTGATTCTCGCTTTCAGTTGAAGCTGTTGACAAAACTGTCCCAGAATTTCCAGATGATTTTTGATCTATCAGGAATAGATTCTGAAAGTTCTTCAAGAAGTTTAATGATAGCAGTCTAAGAAAAATACCTTTCGTTTTGGGGTGTAATTGTATGTTCTCCATGAGTGATTTGTGATTTTGTGGTACCTTCAATGAGATACTTTATTTTCTCAGCCTAATGAAATCATCCTCTTCAGGTTCTAGCACAATGAAAAATGAAGTGAAGCACTTATTGAAATTTGAGCAGTTCAATCAGTAATTTTACATAATTTTATATTCTCATCTTCGAGATACGCCACTGGCGTCCATCGTCCATTTACATTTCGCCAAGAATTTAAACGACGCTACTGTTTATGGTTCACTTATAGCATATATGTACTATATCTATATATGGCGCATTGCCTATACGATATCTCAACAAAAATGGGACCAAAATGAGAGGTACTTTTTTAATCTAAAAAGGATGGAAACAGCCATATTGGTTTGACAAGTTTCGTATTATTTTTGACCTACGTCGGCATCAACGCCTATTGTTCGATTACGTTACCTATAGAGACAGAAGTTGGTCCCACTTTGAGGACAGCTTGACAGCTATGTAGTAGATATATTACTTATAGTGTTGCAGCTGATGATTTGTTCGTTCGCCATATTGGATGCGCATTCTAGTCGTAAGATATAAAGGTTATGAGTTCTGTGGACGATCCACACAACAATAATAATCACGGCGGCTCGGGTGAATTGATAACTGCGAGCAAATGTTTTACTCGCAGTTAGGTATACGAGGATGCGTCGTATATTGTATTTCCACCATAGTTATTACCAGTGCAAGATACAAACGGAGGTACTGGTCGGCTCTTTAACGTTTAAAATATTGTTTTTACATTTTTGTGAATTCATGTCGACTGAAAAAAGAAATGTAGGTTCCAAGTTAAGTTGAATACCAAGTTCATTCGTCACAATTTATCTCTAGTTTATTGGATATTAAAAAATTGAATCTACGATACTCATGAAAAAATCTTGAAACTTCAACGCTCTGTATATCGGTCACGAAGCGTTTGCGGACACATGCTTATAGGAAAAAAAGTCTTATTTTGACCAGAAAATTGAGTCCCTATAATCTCGATACTGAATTTTGAAACACCCTATATAAATGAATTTAATTTTTTGCCTTGAGGAATAAAAATTTCAACCTGGTTCAAAATATTCCTAATTCCGACATGTTGTAGATTTATGGTTGATTTTAAAGAAGATTCTTGTAAGGAAAAATTATACCAATATCATGTGAAAAATAATTTTAAAATAAAAAAGTTTGAATCTACGAAAACCTTGATGAAAAGTATTTCATAACCAATGGGAAACTCTCAGCATCTATTTTCCAAACAAATTGTATCCTATGATAACGTGAAAGTATCAAAAATCTGAACTCATTGCCCTCCAGCAGGAGTATAATATTCAAAATATAATAATCCCTAATTTATAATATAGGGTTTGATTTCATAAGCACTTATTCAATTCTTATCCATCATTTTAAACTTTCCTCTATTTTTCTGAATGAACGTAATACTGTTAATATTATAAAAATAACGAACCACCAAAAAATAATGTAGATAATGAGAATCGTATTTTAAAAATAGATTCTCATATGCTTTGATGTAAACAAAGTAAAAACGCGAATTAATTTAACTACAATGTATACACATGACGCAATTTCTATGTGTACTTACCAATTATTTCCTTAATCAAATCCTGACTAACAATACTAACATGAATCAATAATATAGTAAGCAGTTTCACTCCCGACAAATGATAAATCCCAGTCTACTATTGACAGCAACTGAGTAAACATTTTCTTTTTAACCAGTTTGTGTTGAAAAAAAAAACAATACAAATCTATTCAACCAGAAATTCTGCTTCCGAGGTACAGGTTGTTAAAGTTGAAGATATATAATATGGATACATGGAACATAAATGGCAAAATTACGCCAATTAAGTTCAAAATCCAAAAAGGCCTATATATGCGGGCGTCACGGTCAATCTATACCAGGAGTTATGTTTTCCCGTAGGTTTAAATGTCATCGAAACGTCATGTCATGACCTTGACCACGAAATTGTATAGAGGAAAAATACTTCACATGTAACAGTTTGGTGATACCATTGTAAAAAAATCAAAATTATGCACATGGATGTCATATTGATTAGGTTAATGATAAATATGAAAACGGTAGTTGAGAAAATACTGAGATGAAGATGATGTAATCATGACAAATGACGTGGCACTGGAGTGACTGGTGAATTTCTATGAACTAGGCCGGATTTTCCCTCTGGAATTGGAATCTCAGAAGGGTATGCGGCAAATCATGGGAATGAACCCCAAACAGATTTGGTGAACACAATAGTCACATATGGCACGGTAGTCTGGTAGACGAGAGGTTTGCAGTCGACAGCTAGGGCAAAGCTTACTGATCTTCACAAGCATGCCTAGCCATTTGTACAGTAGAGTTTCCTTCAATCCAACACCGAATACATAATACGTGGTACAGGGTTTATTTTTAACTCAATACGTGGAGGTTATGAGTTCATGGGAATATTTTCATTGGCAAAGAAGAGTTTTGGTAAAGTGTTGTTCGATATTACAAGGTTAACGACGAAGGGATGTGCTGACTGGGCCTGTCGAGTTTGTCTGACTGATATTGCTAGTGATGGAATTATATCAGAGATTTCTGAGGAACATTTCCCGCGGAAGAATCTATAGAAAAGTGAAAGGTCGCCAACTTTTCTATGGTGTTCTAATCTAGTCAAAGAGTTGGTGAGTGTGGCAAATGGCTCTTCTCTGGATGAAATCTAAGAGCATCAGCGTATGTTTGGGTGCTGAACCCCATACATGAGAACAGTATTCTTAAACTGGCCGTATCTGTGCTTTGTAGATCATGAGAAGCTGTTGAGGTGCAAAGTAGATTTTCGCATGGAACAAGAAACCAAGTTTTTGTGAAGCAGCTTAGCAGCATAGATATCGTAGTTTTGGTGGAAATGGTGGTACCAGTCATTTTCATATTAGGATCCGAATATCTCTGTGATATCACCAAAAGATAAAAATATTGATGTGACCTCTATTAGGAACATCAATTGAACACAAGCCAATGATGTTACACAGACGTGATCCTAATATATGATTTACATATATTTGATACATTGCATCGTCACAAATTGTGACTGTTATTCTGCGGTTCCTGTTTGTTTCATAACCTATATAATTAATAACTTCTACGCCAAACCTAGTAAAAGTGGTGAAATATAATTATTGTAAAGATTCAAATGAGCCAACTAAGTATGTCAAATAATTCAACAGACAACAGTGATGTTAAAGTTCCCCTTTGGTTTCAGTGAGCCAGCAGAATAATATTTGTGATATGAACTTCTTCAATGTTCTATGAGCAGTGAGGATCGAAGATAGTCATAGATAGTTTCTTTATATATTGCAGATCATGAAATGGTTTTTCACGGAATTTTGGTGAATATGACCGAGGTAAAGTTGATGATGAAAAAAAAAAAAAAATTAAAAAGAGAATGGTACTGATGAGATGAATGAGGAAAAAGTGTAGTTCATCCATATTTATGTGCATGCCAGATATTCTCTCAATACAGAATGGGTTGATTTGAAAACAGAATCCTGCTGATACTATGTTGCAGATAGGTATAAGGTTATGTAAAACATGGTTGTTTCATATTTTCTTTTGTAATTATTATCATTATTATTATTATTATTAATTATATTACAAAATCCTAACCTATTGTACATTGGTCAGTGACATCTCAGTGATATATTTCTGTGGTATCGTGATGCGATATTCCTCTGACATCGCGGTGTAATGTTGGCGATATCCAAACGAGTGTGACAAATGTACGTCCTCGTGACGTCCACGCGCCTACCTGATTCAATGTCGCAGTACTCATGATGATGTATCATAGATGTTCATGCGACATCGCATTGTTAGCTTTTTCGTACGTTGATGCACGTGGTTACCGTGGTATACTGAACTAAATTAACCGAGGTACAGACAATTAGCCCCAAGATTTTGGAATTTGCAAAACATATTCAATGAGAAGCCAATAATGAAATTTTAAAATCACACTTACAGAACTTCCATTAGAAGTCGGCTGTCTATAATCAGGACTATGACTTGGCGGTAAAGGATGAACTTCATCTCTGTGAACGACCTGGGCAGCATACTGTGCCGCCATTTGCAGATCAGCTTGGACATTTCGTTTGCCGTGGCTGCCGCTGAGGCCTCCATGCCCACCTAAAAAAAATCGAGAATAAAACTTTAGAGAACAAAAATACAACCTTCAATAAATTAATGCGGTTGCTGGAGACAGAAGGTCATTGAATTTTGCTCCTTTTAGGTGGTAACAATTTCCAAATATAGACGAAATTTATACTCGAATGTGGAGATTAATCTCGTCAACAGCCAGATGTGAAGTGAAATAAGATTCTGGATAATTTTGAGTTACAATTTATTGAAATCATAATCACTGCAAGTGAAACCGAAAGATTTTTGTGCCTAAAAACGAGTGCCAAATAAAAACTGCAACTGAGGATAAGATAACTGCAAGGATAAGTCTACCGTCTACCTGAAGTACGTTTACCAGTGGCGTATCAATAAGCATTTCACAATGTCACAATACTGACTGTGTTTTGAAAGATAATAAGAATGAACCATTTGGTTTTCCCTGTGATTAGTGTAAACGAATCATATGTAAAAATTGTGCTGGATTATCAGCTTCCGAGGTAAGAGCAGTAGTGATTCCTACCAGAGGGTAATGCCTTTTTATTGCCCACCATGCAGAGTTAACAGTATCACTACTCTAGCTCAAAAATCGAAAAAGCTCGACGAGAAAATCCAAGGCTACTCGTCAAATTTTAATGGCAAATTCATCACATTGGAACGCATTGGAACAAAGAATACTCAAAATGGAAGAGATTCTGGAGTCAAATAGACGTCTGGAACAAAGGATCATGAAAATAGAGAAACTTTTTGAAACAAACAAATCAGTAGAGCAAGAAGTTATTGAAATTACGAAATATTTTGAGTCTAATCACTAGGCACATTTTGATAGTGAAGCACTCTACATGGCGGTTCAAGATAGAGCGCACAGATCTGAAAACATAATCATATATGATGTGCAGGAATCTCAATCTGAATATTACTCTGTGAGAATTTCATTTGATGAACAACAGTGTGAAAAAGTATTAGATTTATAGAACGTACAAGCTGAAGAATTTAAGGATATTCGTCTAGGTCGTCCTAGCAATAAATCCCGTCCACTAAACGTATCTTTCTTTGATAACAATATTGCTATTGCCTGCCTGCTGTCCCAATTCGATCTCGATTCGTTATCGATCTGGAAATCCTCATATTGTTGAAAACAGATAGATCAAAAAACTAATAAAGGATTACTGTCAAAATGTTGGAGGAATTAGATATAAACTTCAAGAACTTCAGTACTGTGTTCGGAGTATGATATATTAATATTAGTTGAAAGCTGGCTGTCGAGATATCTCAGATTTGGAAATTAGAATACCGTCCTATAACATTTTTCGATGTGACAGGAATAGTGAAGGAAGTGAAAAATCTAGAGGAGGGGGAATATTATTAATTATTAAAGATTCAATTAAGGTATCTGTTATTAAGCCTTTGTATAAAACCATTGAACAGCTCTGTTGGGAAGATGAAATTCATCGTGGGAGGAGTGTATATCCCACCACAGTCTACTGAAAAAGCTTACGAAGATCACTGTTTAACTATTGATAAAATTGCTCATAGCTATCAGAAACATAATATGTATATTTTTGGAGACTTCAATGTACAGGGTGATTCACCATAAATGTTCCCCCCCTGTAGCTCACTTATTTTTGAACCGATTTGAAAATTTGAAAAATCATCTAAAATGATTTTTCAGAAATTTTTTTCCCGTTGCATCAGAAAATACAGGGTGCTCGGACCAAACGATCTACAGAGCTGATTTTATCAATGCATCACACTTGGGGTCTAGCGGGAATGATTACAGAGATATAGGGTGTTCAAAATCGAGATTTTTCAACTTTAGGATTTTTTTGTGTTGAAACTATTCATTATTGGTCAAAACGGCTTTAATGTCCCTATCTGAACTTTTGATTTACTATCTACTGACATTCAATTAGAACATATACAGTGTGATTCAAGATTCAGAATTCTGATCACCCTGTATCTGTTCCAATTATTAAATGTCAGTAGATAGTGAATCAAAAGTTGAGATACGGACATGAAAGCCGTTTTGACCGATAATGAATAGTTTCGTAACAGAAAAATCCTAAAGTTGAAAAATCTCGATTTTGAACACCCTATATCTCTGTAATCATTTTTGCTAGACCCCAAATGTGATACATTGATGAAATCAGCTCTTCAGGGAGAATCTAAAAATACAATGAAAAATAGGGTGTTCCATTGAGAAAAATCAAATTGAACCCTGAAGATCGTTAGTTCCGAGCATCTTGTATTTTCTGATGTAGTGGAAAAATCTTTATCGAAAATCATTTTAGATGATATTTAAAATTTTGCAATCGGTTCAAAAATAACTGAGCTAGAGGGGGGGACATTTATGGCGAATCACCCTGTACCTGAAGCATCTTGGGACAACAACTTTGGAACAAACAAAATTAACGCGATAATCTCCTGTAGCTATAAGCAACGTAAACAAAAAGGACCATTTCAATTGGTTGAAAATTGATTTATGAAATTTTCTCGTTAATTCTATATTATGTATTTGAAAACCTCTGGTGTACGCACTTCAATCCTTTTCTGTTTTACAATTCCTTGATTTTCGCCTACTTCGATGAACATAACATCGCGTGGGTGAATGTCGCTAAATTTAGTCTGGTGCCGTACCAAAATTACAGGCATCAATGTGACAATTGTGAGCGAATTGTGACCAATGAAGATAGGGAATAGATTTTGCGATCTAGCCGCATCAAGGTTGACAGAACTAATGTTGATCATAAGTTCTAAGAATCACGCCATCTAACATTCGATATGTGAACCCCACGTCATCGTCTGAAATTCAATTGTTTATATCAAGAACCAGTCTGACGAAACAAATGAAGAGTGAGCGCACCAGAGGTTTATTTCATCAATATCGGTACCATCGATAGTTCTAATGTTCCCAAATGAAGTTTTTACATTTGCCATGGATTTCCATCAAGTAGGTAACGACCGAGTCAATTGAAAAAAAAAAAGTTCCCAAATGAATTACCCTAAAAAATAATGTAACCCATAGCTATTGCTAATGGTCAATTGAAATTTGAAAATTATTGGAAGAAAACACTCTGAATTTCCTGATCACCGGTTACTCTCTTTCAAATTATCCAAAAATGCCTATTGAACCATCACATTGGAAATAGCATCAAACAATAAGAAATGCAAAAATTCTTTCAGATACCACAGTCACGAGGAATGTTAATGGATGGTAATTTCAAATCGCAAGGGTTCCACGTAGTTTTTGCTTTTACGACAAAAATATCAATTGTAGCTAATTGGGGAAATCTAAAAATAAATGTCATACAATGTAGTGACTATAACAAGTTTATCATGAAATATATTGGACAAACTCGCCGTAATATAAGAACCTGATTCAATGATCATATTTTTCATTTCAGATAGATATAATCAATTTGAAAAATCAAGTGTTGCCATTGCCAATAATTATATTTTCAAAATAAACAATCCATAACATTAGATAATATAGCTTGGGTGACAGAGAAATTTCAATATTGCGCCGTCACACCCATATGGAAACTTCGAACGCAAATATCTTCGTAATCGTTTGAAATAACCTAATCAAATCCGGTATAGTTGAATTTAATATGATTATGGAATAAAATGAAGGGTCTCCCATTTAAAAAACAAAAGGTTGGAGTCGTTTTCAGCAGGGTTGCGACGATTTAAATCAAATGATTAAAACCGTGATTCAAATCATGATTCAAATCAACTGATTTTTCCAATTTCAATCGTGATTCAGATCAAATTATGAATTGCTGTGAAAACAAGTCGCCAAAGCAGATTACTCATCAGGAAATTCAATAAAAGGACGTTTATTAAAAACCAAGTGTTTACATTCATTATGTAAGTGCGAGGTGAACAAAAACGTTACTCAGGATAACCTATAAAAAACAAAAAAATATGTGTTTAGGATGTCAGGTGTAATAGTTCCCTACACAAAAAATATTTTTGGACGAATAGAGAAAACTAATGTAAATAAGTGATACAAAATTTATTATTTTCATATTTAAAGAATAAATAAGTATAAATCATAAAATTTGTATAAATCAAAAAAATCATGATTTAATCGAAAATGTCGGATTTTTAGATTTTTTCGAAAAAATCGTGATTTTTCGCAACTCTGGTTTTCAGTAAAACCCTCGGTAAAACCGGAAGTGATGGGAGAGTATGAAATATCAAGAAAAATTGTCCAAGTCATGGAAACCATCCATTCTCAAAGTGAACCGGTATTTTTTCAACAGGAGCAAAATGGGCTTATATCACAAAAAAAATTATTTCATAATTCGATAGAACTCACCCAAACTAGCTCACCATCGCAAATCGTTTCTTGCTGTGAGCTCCCTACGTTTTATAAAAAATTATTGAAATCCCCGATTTTTCGGACCTCTGAAAACGACGCGATGATGTGACGTCAAAACCCTAATACTGAAACAAGACTATTCCAGACAGAGATGAATGATACATGATTTCTGACAGAGTGAATTAGCGCGAAATCACAGTTGAAAGACTTAATATATCAGTTGCCTCAGTCTCCGTCGGGCGTTTGGTATTTTCTTTTAAATATGACGAGATGAGGTTTCTACTTCATAAGAGGGTCCGTTTTCAGAAGGTACTATTATTTATGTCCAAAAATAAAACATTCCAGTTAATTTTTCGATCGAATTATGTCGTCAATCATTATTTATGTATAAAAGGATCATTATAAACATGGTTTTGAGTTAAAAGTTCTACTAAGGTGTACACGCCCATTGTCTAGTTTGAATATCATACCTTCAGAACTTTGAACACCATGGTTAGTCAATTGAATACGTTGGGTATGTATATGTCGGCGTCAAACAGTGAAATCCTTCATTCTCTGGAATGCCTAGTCATTTCACGTATTGCCGGCAAACAGCGTAACTCTAAATTTCGTACACCGTTTGCCTAATAGTTTCAGGCATTCCCTGTAATGACGGAAGGAAGGATCATTTAGGCCGATCCAGCTT